GGCTTCAAATCTTGGAATAATTTTGTGTATGGAGTTTGGGGTATGTTGATTGTACATTAGGATACAAAATCTCGAGAAAAAAAAAATTGAAATTTCATCCTTTTAGTAAGAAGGTACCTACCTTATGATTTAGATTTTGGAAAACTTTGAAAGGTCATAACTTTTTTTCTATTATAGATAGAAAGCTGAAACTTTTACTGAATTTTATCCCTTTGAAACGTCTACAATCCCTGAAAATTTCAGCTCATTTACACTTATAGTTCCTGAGATAAAATCGTGTTAAGCGATTTGGGGTAATTTATCAATTTTTCAATTCTTCTGAGTGGCTTTTTTCATAGATTTCGGCTTCAAATCTTGGAATAATTTTGTGTATGGAGTTTGGGGTATGTTGATTGTACATTAGGATACAAAATCTCGAGAAAAAAAAAATTGAAATTTCATCCTTTTAGTAAGAAGGTACCTACCTTATGATTTAGATTTTGGAAAACTTTGAAAGGTCATAACTTTTTTTCTATTATAGATAGAAAGCTGAAACTTTTACTGAATTTTGTCCCTTTCAAAGGTCTACAATCCCTGAAAATTTCAGCTCATTTACACTTATAGTTCCTGAGATAAAATCGTGTTAAGCAATTTGGGGCGATTTATCAATTTTTCTGAGTGCCTTTTTTCATAGATTTCGGCTTCAAACCTTAGAATAATTTTGTGTATGGAGTTTGGGGTATGTTGATTGACCATTAGGATACAAAATCTCGAGAAAAAAAAAATTGAAATTTCATCCTTTTAGTAAGAAGGTACCTACCTTATGATTTAGATTTTGGAAAACTTTGAAAGGTCATAACTTTTTTTCTATTATAGATAGAAAGCTGAAACTTTTACTGAATTTTGTCCCTTTCAAAGGTCTACAATCCCTGAAAATTTCAGCTCATTTACACTTATAGTTCCTGAGATAAAATCGTGTTAAGCGATTTGGGGTGATTTATCAATTTTTCAATTTTTCTGAGTGCCTTTTTTCATAGATTTCGGCTTCAAATCTGAGAATAATTTTGTGTATGGAGTTTGGGGTATGTTGATTGTACATTAGGATACAAAATCTCGAGAAAAAAAAAATTGAAATTTCATCCTTTTAGTAAGAAGGTACCTACCTTATGATTTAGATTTTGGAAAACTTTGAAAGGTCATAACTTTTTTTCTATTATAGATAGAAAGCTGAAACTTTTACTGAATTTTGTCCCTTTCAAAGGTCTACAATCCCTGAAAATTTCAGCTCATTTACACTTATAGTTCCTGAGATAAAATCGTGTTAAGCGATTTGGGGTAATTTATCAATTTTTCAATTCTTCTGAGTGGCTTTTTTCATAGATTTCGGCTTCAAATCTTGGAATAATTTTGTGTATGGAGTTTGGGGTATGTTGATTGACCATTAGGATACAAAATCTCGAGAAAAAAAAATTTGAAATTTCATCCTTTTAGTAAGAAGGTACCTACCTTATGATTTAGATTTTGGAAAACTTTGAAAGGTCATAACTTTTTTTCTATTATAGATAGAAAGCTGAAACTTTTACTGAATTTTGTCCCTTTCAAAGGTCTACAATCCCTGAAAATTTCAGCTCATTTACACTTATAGTTCCTGAGATAAAATCGTGTTAAGCGATTTGGGGTAATTTATCAATTTTTCAATTCTTCTGAGTGGCTTTTTTCATAGATTTCGGCTTCAAATCTTGGAATAATTTTGTGTATGGAGTTTGGGGTATGTTGATTGTACATTAGGATACAAAATCTCGAGAAAAAAAAAATTGAAATTTCATCCTTTTAGTAAGAAGGTACCTACCTTATGATTTAGATTTTGGAAAACTTTGAAAGGTCATAACTTTTTTTCTATTATAGATAGAAAGCTGAAACTTTTACTGAATTTTATCCCTTTGAAACGTCTACAATCCCTGAAAATTTCAGCTCATTTACACTTATAGTTCCTGAGATAAAATCGTGTTAAGCGATTTGGGGTAATTTATCAATTTTTCAATTCTTCTGAGTGGCTTTTTTCATAGATTTCGGCTTCAAATCTTGGAATAATTTTGTGTATGGAGTTTGGGGTATGTTGATTGTACATTAGGATACAAAATCTCGAGAAAAAAAAAATTGAAATTTCATCCTTTTAGTAAGAAGGTACCTACCTTATGATTTAGATTTTGGAAAACTTTGAAAGGTCATAACTTTTTTTCTATTATAGATAGAAAGCTGAAACTTTTACTGAATTTTATCCCTTTGAAACGTCTACAATCCCTGAAAATTTCAGCTCATTTACACTTATAGTTCCTGAGATAAAATCGTGTTAAGCGATTTGGGGTGATTTATCAATTTTTCAATTTTTCTGAGTGCCTTTTTTCATAGATTTCGGCTTCAAATCTTAGAATAATTTTGTGTATGGAGTTTGGGGTATGTTGATTGACCATTAGGATACAAAATCTCGACAAAAAAAAATTTGAAATTTCATCCTTTTAGTAAGAAGGTACCTACCTTATGATTTAGATTTTGGAAAACTTTGAAAGGTCATAACTTTTTTTCTATTATAGATAGAAAGCTGAAACTTTTACTGAATTTTATCCCTTTGAAACGTCTACAATCCCTGAAAATTTCAGCTCATTTACACTTATAGTTCCTGAGATAAAATCGTGTTAAGCGATTTGGGGTAATTTATCAATTTTTCAATTCTTCTGAGTGGCTTTTTTCATAGATTTCGGCTTCAAATCTTGGAATAATTTTGTGTATGGAGTTTGGGGTATGTTGATTGTACATTAGGATACAAAATCTCGAGAAAAAAAAAATTGAAATTTCATCCTTTTAGTAAGAAGGTACCTACCTTATGATTTAGATTTTGGAAAACTTTGAAAGGTCATAACTTTTTTTCTATTATAGATAGAAAGCTGAAACTTTTACTGAATTTTGTCCCTTTCAAAGGTCTACAATCCCTGAAAATTTCAGCTCATTTACACTTATAGTTCCTGAGATAAAATCGTGTTAAGCAATTTGGGGCGATTTATCAATTTTTCTGAGTGCCTTTTTTCATAGATTTCGGCTTCAAACCTTAGAATAATTTTGTGTATGGAGTTTGGGGTATGTTGATTGACCATTAGGATACAAAATCTCGAGAAAAAAAAAATTGAAATTTCATCCTTTTAGTAAGAAGGTACCTACCTTATGATTTAGATTTTGGAAAACTTTGAAAGGTCATAACTTTTTTTCTATTATAGATAGAAAGCTGAAACTTTTACTGAATTTTGTCCCTTTCAAAGGTCTACAATCCCTGAAAATTTCAGCTCATTTACACTTATAGTTCCTGAGATAAAATCGTGTTAAGCGATTTGGGGTAATTTATCAATTTTTCAATTCTTCTGAGTGGCTTTTTTCATAGATTTCGGCTTCAAATCTTGGAATAATTTTGTGTATGGAGTTTGGGGTATGTTGATTGTACATTAGGATACAAAATCTCGAGAAAAAAAAATTTGAAATTTCATCCTTTTAGTAAGAAGGTACCTACCTTATGATTTAGATTTTGGAAAACTTTGAAAGGTCATAACTTTTTTTCTATTATAGATAGAAAGCTGAAACTTTTACTGAATTTTGTCCCTTTCAAAGGTCTACAATCCCTGAAAATTTCAGCTCATTTGCACTTATAGTTCCTGAGATAAAATCGTGTTAAGCGATTTGGGGTGATTTATCAATTTTTCAATTTTTCTGAGTGCCTTTTTTCATAGATTTCGGCTTCAAATCTGAGAATAATTTTGTGTATGGAGTTTGGGGTATGTTGATTGACCATTAGGATACAAAATCTCGACAAAAAAAAATTTGAAATTTCATCCTTTTAGTAAGAAGGTACCTTATGATTTAGATTTTGGAAAACTTTTTCTCTATTATAGATAGAAAGCTGGAACTTTTACTGAATTTTATCCCTTTCAAAGGTCTACAATCCCTGAAAATTTCAGCTCATTTACACTTATAGTTCCTGAGATAAAATCGCGTTAAGCAATTTGGAGTAATTTATCAATTTTTCAATTCTTCTGAGTGCCTGTGTGAGTAGTTGTAAGTCTTCTGAAGAAAAACAGAACGATTTCGGATCCATAAGAGTCTTCAAAACCTAATAGAATCTAATTATTTTAATAAAGACCTGAAAATCCTGGAAATTTTCTCATAGAAGAACCAGAAACTCACAAAGTATTGAAATTCAAGCTCCTTAAAATCTTTAGAGGAGAAAAATCAGGAAATAATAGAATAATTTCTCAGAATTCAAGATCTGAAGATTCTAAGATTTTCCATAAAAATAACGAGAAATTTCCAAAAATTTTCAGAGTATTTAGAATATTAAGATTAATAGACAAAATTTGCTGAAAACGATTCTGTATTACAGGATTTTGAGAACCTGATAAGGATGTGAATATTTTGTTTTATAAAAGAATCAAAAAGGTTGTAAACTAATGATTGAAGATCAAAGACAAGATTTCCAAAGAAAGATTCTGGATTGAAGGGTTTTCAGGGAATTAAGACGTAAATATGTTTCTCATAGAAGAATCAAAAACTTTGCAAATTAATGATTGAAGATTCAGGATTTAGAAAAACTTCTGCGAGAAAAATAAGGAAATTTAAACATTCCATAGAATTTTAATAAAAGCCTCAAGAAATTCTCAAGATTTATAGAATTTAGGATCTCAAAATCCATAGTCTTCTCAGAAAGAACAAGATTTGAAAGACTTGCAAAGTACCTACCTATTGATTCAGGATTGTAATGCTTTTTTTCATTAAAACGCCAAAAAGGTTGACAGAACCTTATATCTGTGGAATATTCTTGTACAAAAATAGCAAAAAAGAAGAATTTTACTATAAAACCATACCAAAGAAGAACGTTTAGAATGTAAAATAAATTATGAAAAAATTTCCAAGGTTTTTTTGATTAAATTCCAACCTAATAATAAATTCTTCTTTTCTCTACATGAAAATGTCTTTTTCAGCAACGGCACCAACTGCCTCTTCAAACTATTCGCTTGGCTCTACACAGGATCCCACAGCATGTTCTCCGAATGCATCCACTCATTGGCCGACACCATCAACCAACTAATCCTGGCCTATGGCATCCACAAATCAGTCCAGATTGCCGACTCTTACCATCCCTATGGTTACACCAACATGAAATATGTTGCTTCTCTTATTTCGGGAGTTGGAATTTTTTGTGTCGGAACTGGTTTGTCTTTTTATCATGGAATTAGTGGGTTGATGCATCCCGAACCCATGGAAGATTTTTATTGGGCCTATTTTATTTTGGCCGGGTCTTTAGTGTCAGAAGGTGCCACTTGGTTGGTTGCTTTCAATTCAATACGGAAGGGGGCAAGGGAGATTAACATGTCTGTTAAGGATTACAGTAAGTATGATAGCAATTTATTTATTTAGCAATAGTATTCGAAATTTAGTAAACTGGACTGTGACTGGAAAATCGCGCAAACAAATAGAAATAGTAATGAAAATGATACCCTTGGGTTGTCGAAATACAGAAAAGATATTTCCACTCACCTGGGTTTTCGTATAAGCTGTGTGTATATACGGGGATCCCCTGGAAAACGGTTCTCCACAACCACCAACGTATCAGCATCGACTTAAGGCACTCAAGGTCCCTTTTTAACGGCACAAAACATAGACTTTTCAAGTTTAAAACACGGAACCGGAAAAAATTGCAACGTGCATATAAAGCACCATTTATCTAGTGTGTGTAAATACAAATCTTCAACGGCTGGCTACCTCGTTCGGCGCAGGGTCGTAGAAAATACACTCTTGTGTGTTTTACGCGAAATTGACATTTAAGTAATTCTTTCATAATGTTACAATTGCCCGCTTTACGGGGGTGACATGGGGGGGCTTGTAGCTTTGGGGGTCGATGGAGAGAAACTAGCTCAAGTTATATAAAAGTGTAAATATATATTTTCCCAAATAGGCTCTTACATATACACTAGTCCTATAGGATGCATGACCCTTCGAACACTGGGGTCCTTATAGGGAGCCACACGTCAACGCTGCTTGGGGGACTGTCGATTATTTATCGCGACCCTTATGTGACTTGTCCAGAGGGGCTTTCCCAACAAGAGGTAATTGCACTGGACAACGAAAAGGCTGAAGATACCCAGAGGGGCTTTCCCAATGAGAGGTAGTTGCACTGGTATAAGTCTGCCTGTTGCTATTTATATCAATTTATTGCTGAATTGCAATAAACATCCGATCGAATCGGCAATTAAATTAATAAGGTTGAATACCAGGTCCTTTTTTCCTAAGCAGCTAGTTGACAATAAGAATGAGAAGAAACCAAATTAATAAATAATGTTGCGTTAACAAATATTCATCTTTAAAATTACATTCTTTATAAAACATCAGTGGCGGCTCGTCAGAGGAGGCAGGGGAGGCTAAACCTCCCCCAAAAAATTGAAAATTCAATCTCAATTTTTTATTCCTGATTTCTAATTAAAATAATAATTAACAAATTACACTTTCCAATTTTCGATATTTCAATGTAATTTAGAAAAATCTGACATTATTTCAATCAATCCCGCGCCTCCACGGCAAATATTTGTGAATCTGAGATACTCAGTAATACCGGCCCGAAGGGCCGGAGTTATATGCGAGCCCGAAGGGCCGAAGTTATATGCGAGCCCGAAGGGCCGGAGTTAAATGCGAGCCCGAAGGGCCGGAGTTATATGCGAGCCCGAAGGGCTAGAGTTATACGCGAACCCGGCCCGAAGGGCCGGAGTTATACGCGAACACGGCCCGAAGGGCCGGATTTATATGCGAACCCGGCCCAAAGGGCCGGATTTATACGCGAACCCGGCCCGAAGGGCTAGTTATTTTAATCTCGGGACTCAGTCTAAAATTCAATTGGTTAGCGAATAATTTGGAGCCAATCAAAAACCGAGAATATTTAAAATGCGATTTTTAACGTCCGATCAAAGAGTCGGGAATATTCAAAAACTTTAGTTTTATCAAATTAGTTTTGGAATGTTGGTTTTCTTAAGATTTTTACTTTTTTCAGAAAACGGTGGTTTTTGCAAACATATACTACTTTATTGTTGTCTTTGTCTTATTCACTATAATCAATAAGGAAACCTTGTAATGTCATTTTCATTGAAATTAAACTAAAAACAAGTTTCTTATGATTTATTTGGAGTATTTTAATTATTATAATCATTATTAATTAATTATTAAATTGAATTTTAAACAAAAAACCCTTTTAAAATTTTATTTTTGTTTTCCGAAATAAGATGTGGCAACGTTGCTTTTAGTTGGCCATTTTGAAGTGACGCCTTGTAATTTTTTGCCAGTTTTTCCTCGAATTTTTCACTATTCCGGGGCTTTTCAATGGAAAAAGGCAATTTAACATACGAGGCTTTGAGTTTTCTTCATTTTCTAGCAAAAATGTCCAGTTTTAAAATGACATAAATAACAAAATTCCATTTAAAATGTTTTTTTTTTAAGTTTTGATGTGGCAACACCGTTTGTACCAACTTCAAATAGGTTTTGTAATAAATGTCATTTGCCAGTTTTGACAGTCGGCAATTTTTAATTGACGTGTTCATATTTCTATCCAGTTTTTCCTCGAATTTTCCGCTTTTCCAAGCCGTTTTCAGTCAAGAAAACCGATTTGAAATACGAGGCTTTGAATTTCCTACATTTTATGCTAAAAATTCCTAGTTTTCCAATGGGGTAAGTGACAAAAACTCAAATTTCATTAAGTAGGCTCTGGAATTTCATTTTTAGAGGTTTTTCTTTGAATTTGTCCGCTTTTCAGGGCTTTTCTGGTCGGAAAAACCGATTTAAAGTACGAGACTTTGAGTTTTCTTAATTTTCCACCAAAAATTTCCAGTGTTTTAACGGGGTAAGTGAGAAAAACTTTAGTTTTATCAAGTAGGTTTTGGAATGTCATTATCGTTGGTTTTTTTTTTGGAATTTTTATTTAAGGTTTTTGGGGTGCGGGGATCGTTTTCTATCACTTTTTTTTTCGAAATTCGCAAAATAAAAAAAAAACTTTTTTGACGTTGACAGCTGTCAATTTTTTTTGACACAAATCGATAGTTAGCGTCGCGAAACTGCCTTGTACCGGGGGTTTGATTTTCGTAGCTTTTATAGTAGAGCGGAGAAAAAGTCAAATTTGACACATGACATTTGTCGATAATTCCTTGAAGTTTCATTGGACTTTCGAGAAATTTTCGGTTATGAACGTGGATATTCTCATAAAATTTTAGTGAATTCCGAGACATTTTTAAGAAATTACATGAAATTCCAAAGAATTTTATAAAAATTTTGTGGAATTCTAGGATATTTCAGTGGTAAAATTTTGAGGAATTACTGGAAAGTAAAGTTAAAAAAACAAAATATGGAATTTTGAAATTGAAATCTTAATGGAATTTTGAGGAATTTCATGAGATCCTATACTGTAATTAGCCACCTCACTTGAAACGAGCCGCCACTGTAAAACATGATAATATTTGCAAGTGTTCATACTTCAAAGATTTGCGTAAAAATTTAATTCACATTCTAGTATTCCGTGGTCAAGATCCCAGCGTCAATGTAGTCCTACTTGAAGACTTCGCAGCAGTTGTAGGCGTAATTGTAGCCGCAGGCTGTATGGGTCTTTCATCAATGACCAACAGCCCTATTCCCGATTCGATGGGCTCGCTTTTGGTGGGCTGCATTTTGGGCTCAGTAGCTTCGTTTATCATCTACACAAATGTTGCTGCTTTGGTGGGCCGATCGATACCGGAAGAGAATTTGGAAAGGATCAATGCTGAATTGGAAAAGGACGTCATGATTAGGGCGATTCACGACGTCAAAGGTATCGATATGGGTAATTATTTGGTCAGGTATAAAGCGGAGTTGGATTTCGACGGGCGAGAATTGACCAGGTCGTACTTGGACAAGCAGGATTTGAATGCACTGTTGGAGGAGATTCGTAAGCTGGAAAATATTGATCAGTTGGAGGTGTTTATGTTGAAGCACGGGGAGAATATTGTTGATTTAATGGGCGGCGAAATCGATAGGATTGAAATGAAACTTCGGGTAAGATTTCATTGGTAGTATCTACCTATAATCAACTTTTGAATGTTTATTTGTGTTTTTAGAAGAAACATCCCGAAATACGACATTGTGATTTAGAAGTACTCTAATTTTAAGCACCAGTATTTATTTTTTTAACTTACTGTTGATGTTAAGCATTAAAATTGACTCTTTTTTTTATTGTTAATACAAATTTATTTGCAATTTATTTATTTAATAAACTAATTATAGAATTAATTATTTATTTACTGGATAACGGCTATAATAAAAATTATATACAGGGTTATCATTATTATGGAAACGGCCAATGTAATACAATACAATACAAGAGTTCTTTTCACGTGGCTCCGGTTTGACTAACCTGGTTACAAAACGGTTAGAGAAATGACATACCGTTTTCTAACCCGGTTACAAAGTGACGTGATGGAAACCTACCACTCGAATTTGAGCGGTATGTTGCGGTTTGTTAAACCGGAGCCACGTGAAAAGGGTTAAGGTGTACCTATATTTGTTGAGAAGTCATTAGGTCATGAATCCTCCATATACAGGATACATGCTCTTCTGTGGAAAGGGCTACACGTCTAACGCTTCTTAAAAAGGAATGTCAGTTTAATGCTAATGTTATGTAGAATGTTAATCGTCGTTTAACTGATCCTCTACTAGAGGGGCTTTCTCAGGGTGGCGGTACTTGCACTAGATGATCATACAGTTTCCCAGAGGGGCTTTTCCAGGGTGGTGGTACTTGTACTGGGGAGACTTGACTCTAGAGGGGTGTTCCCAGGTGGTACTAACACTGCTTCAAGTCTGTCTGTTGCTCAACTTGACTCACCATTTATATGAATTTATTGCTGATTTCCAATAAACATATGATTGGATCGGCAATTAAATTATTAAAGTTGAATACCGGGTCCTCCTGTCCCAGAGTCCTTAAAATAATATTAGGCCTTTTCTATACATAACGACAACCCTGTATATTGTCCCTATAAATTAGTTGGCACCCTGTGTATAAAGCAGAAAATTTACAGTGTTTTGATTGATATTGGTTAGATGGCGCCACATAGAAAAGTCAATAATGTGACGTTTTTAGAAAACTCCTAGTCCTAATCAAAACAAACAAAAATGTCGATTTATTATAGTGGAACATTCAAAAGATCCTCCGGCCTAATCAGTGCAATCTATAAACAATTAAAGCAAGTAAATTTAAAGCCCGTAAAACGTATACAAGTGCAATTCGATCCTTTTCACCCTAAAGCCCTCAATGCCAGGTAAACATAACCTCAAATTAACTTTGATTTTTCCTCCGGCGCAAGTCTTTTCCCAGCAGCTCAATTATTTGCTATTTTTAGAGAGTTTTTGTACCACATAAACACCTCCTACGTACAAGACACAAATTTGAACTGCATCATCAAAGCCAATGTGGTATGCGATCGAAGTGAGCCCCAAATTAAGTTAGACTTAATTGATTCAGGGTAATAATTAATAATTTTATTTCAGTCCCAATTTATTCAAATGATTGCTCATTTTAGTACCATCAAATTCCTTGTTGGCAATTTGACTACATTAGAAGTACTGCAACAAATCAACAAGCACATAAGCTCGAAAGTCGAAGTGGAAGAGGTGCAAGAGCCCCAATTAAAAGTTAAAAAAGTCGGCAAAAAACGATGAGTTCCAACGCGGGAGAATCCAGGGCCAAAATAGTCCATGCAGTTTACGAGCAAATTCCAGCCTTTACAGATGTTTTTGATGAAGACACTTTTTACATTTTTGTTTGTTGTTTTGTTTGCTGTACTATTGTTTTGGCTTTTGTATTGAGTCGGTTTATTACTATTAAGGCTGTAGATTAAATTAAAAAAGATGGTTGATTTTTATTGGTATTTTTGTTTTGTTGATTTCAGGCTGAAAGATTTGGGATTATTTGAGAAATGCGGCAACGTTGTGAATGTGGGTTTTGAACACTCCAGTGACGTCTCTGTGTCTGAAAACGAGACGATTTTATCAGACGATCGTAGGTTGGTATCAAATCAAATCTGCCTGCTGTACCTTTTTTTCCAGCAAAACAGGACGGGAATTCTTAAATAACGATTTTCTCTACGATCCTAGATTGAAAACTCATTGGAATCATACGGTATCGAGTGGCCTCTCGTTGTCGAGCTGTGTGTCGAATCGTGATTTAAGAATCTACCTGCAGAGGCAATTTTTCACGAAGATAATCAAGCATAATCTGATTATGCATCCCTCCCCATCAAAATTCTGGGCCTGCGAGTGACGTCACTATTAACAACTCATAGTGATGACGTCACCCGCAGACCTCGATGCAATGCTTGCGATTCAGGCTGTGCTAGTATGTTTTTTCGTCGATTTTAAATATAGAAAAGATGATTTTAGGTCTGTTCTTACAGAAGAAATTTAGTGTTCTTTTTATTCCTCGAGTATCTTAGAATTTGATGGTGGGGGAGTATGTCACAATTGACACATCGCATAGTCCAGCATATTGAAGTATGTTTCATTTTCCGCGCGAAAAATTGCCTCATCTCGAATAACTGAGCATAATTCAAAAGCATCAAAGTTTAGTTTGACGTGTGGTTGGTTCATTGATTAGTGACATATTAGAGTAGTTCGAACAGTAATAATCAGATCAGTGCAAACAGAACAGAGTTTGGGCAAATGAAACACGAATTAAAACAATAATTGGAATACTTAAAGTAAATCAAACAACAGAAGGAATGCAAATATTTTTAGAATGCATTAACTCTATTTAAATTAAAATCCAGTTAGTGCAGGTGGGACAGAATTAACACGTTGAATACGACTGGCCACTATAATGGCCACAAAATGTTGTAAAAATGTACCGCGACCACAATAGTGGCCGGTTTTTTGAAGTATTTCAAACGAGTATTGAATTGCCGCGGTACAAATTAGAAGGTTTTATTGAAGTTGTGTGAGAGAGAGAGTTGGCAAAATGCCCCCACCCACCATGGCCACTATATTGGCCATGTAGTACCTGCATTAGTCGTTTATTTTCACTAGTGCTGAATAAGTGTCTTGTTCTATTTAGTCAGCTTCTGTGCATTCTGGTGTCGCAAACTGCTTCACAAGCCTTCGGAGAAATGGATTATCCGAGAGATTATCAAAATATTTGAAGTAAATAGAAATACAGAAAATCTGGAAATATTACAATGCATCCTGATCCGAATTCGTTTTATTACCTAGAACAACGCTAGAACCAATCCCGAAAAAACACAAAATTCAACGACCTCCAAAACGATGCCAACTGAGGTGCCAATAAGGTTCCAGAAATAACATAAGAAAAAGCACCAGATACCAATACCCAAGTGCGATGGAAGTCCATAGGTTTATGCGTTCATCCGTGTTTTAACATATGGCACACAAAATAAAGCTAAAAATATGATTTTTGTTTAAAGTTTTCTTTGTATTTACTTAAAAATATATTTTCTTTCAAAAAGTCTTATTAGTTAATGGCCATAAATAGTTTATTTATGGACATTATAGTGGCCATTTGGTACATCAGGCTTATATTTTTTCAAAATAGACCAGTGGCCACTATAGTGGATCAAGGTCAGAGCTGTCAAAGTCATATTAAGAACTCCTCTTAGTCATTTCTGTCTTGGTTTCATATTAATATGTCAATCCGTTTGCAAGTTATCCACTGCGGTACAGCAATAAAAGAACTGGTTAAAGCATTGTTGGTATTCAACGTGTTAAAACAGTCAAAGTAGTTCGGACATTTGAACAAATCAAAAAGAGTTAGTGCTCCTGGAACAGCTAGAGTAGAACTACAAAATCCAAAAATTAATTTCAACCCAGCCTACTGTTCTAGTAGATAAATTCATTGCCCATATGCTCATTTTCGTGTATTAGAAAAAGATACAATGACATACTACAACCAGTAACTATCCCTCGTAGGATGGTTACATGTTTACAGCCGAGTTTTATGCACTGGTTTTATGTTGTGTTTTATGTTGTGACGTCATAGTATGTTAGCCATGATCGCTAAAATGTAGTATCCCAAGTAAATACAACATACACTGAAGGTGGGTTCGGCTTGCTCACTCCGTGCACTCCGAGTGACTCCATTCGCATTCCAGCCGTTCGGGTATTGCTTTTTACCGTATTAGGGGTGACTCCATTAACTTTGTTCACTCCACTTCAACTCCGCGCTGAATAGCCGAACCCAGCTTATGTTAAAACTCTCGCTAAAATACGCCTATTGTTTAGTAGTATATTAAAGTAATTCGAACAGTAACAATCAGAGCAATGCAAACAGAACAGAGTTAGTACAGATAGAACTGAAGTTAAAACAATTAGAACCTTCAGAGTAACTGGTTGAACAGATCAAAAAGAGTAATTGCACATGGAACAGTCAGAATAGAATTAAGGAGCATTTACATTCAATTCGAACTTCAAGTTAAATTTGACGTTTGATATTTTATCATTCACATTGCAGAACAAAAACGTCAAGTGAAAAACGTCAGAATTTTATGAGAATTCTATGAATAATCTAAAAATTTGACATTTCACAAAGTGCTTGCCCTCGCCACGCACACCTAACATGGGATTTTTGGGCTCTATGGATTTTGCCCATTTTTTGATATGTTGTAGAGAGGATTTAATTCTGAATAAACTTTAAATGAGACGAAATCTTGTAGGTATTTCGGTCTTTGAGATATGAGCGTTGAAAGTTGAACTTTTTTGCAACTTTTTGTGTGGAGAGTATACGAAAAACTGGTGTTTATCAGTCAAAATTTTAGCAGGTCCACTTATTTTACGTCACTAGCAAATGTCAACATAGGCTAAGGCCGGGACCGCACTGGCGCCAACATTGACCTCAGTGCGGTCCCGGCCTTAACCTAACCTAAGTTGATTTTTAAGTGACGTAAAATATGTGAACCTGTCAATATTTTGACTGATAAACAGCAGTAGCACCAGTATCTCGTATACTCTCCACACAAAAAGTCGCAAAAAAGTTTATCTTTCAACGCTCATATCTCAAAGACCGTAATACCTACAAGATTTCGTCCCATTTAAAGCCTAGTACTCATAACTGCGAAATTCGGATTTTTTTGACATTGCTTCGACAATTTGACGTTTGATACACGCATAAAACGTCAAATTGTCAACGCAATGTCAAAAAAATGCGAATTTCGCAGTTATGAGTACTAGGCTTTAAGGTTGTTCAGAATGAAATCCTCTACAACATATCAAAAAATGGGCAAAATCCATAGAGCCCAAAAATCCCATGTTAGGTGTGCGTTATCCTTTAAAGTGCACTTCGAAGTGAACTTCAAATTTATTTCGATGTAAATGGATCTGTGCTATCGCCATATGGCAAGCACGTCAATTTCAAGAAAAATTGAACTTTGAAGTGAATGTAAATGCACCATGACTAAAAACCCAAAACTAATTTTCAAATTAGCCAAATGTTATAATGAATAAATTCATTGTTTAGTAGCATGAGTACCTAGTTCAAACGGTAACAATCGGAGCAGTGCAAACAGAACAGGGTTAATGTAGATGAAATAGAAATTGAAGCAATTGGAACAGTTAGAGTAACTCGAACATTAGAAGGAATTCAAATAGAATCAATGCAGATGGAATGCTTATAGTAATTTAAATCAAGTTAGTGCAAATGAAACAAAATTAAAACCATTAAAATAGTTCGAACAGTTGAATAAATCAAAAAGAGTCAGTGCACTTGGAACAGTCAGAGTAGAATTATTCGCAGCGCGCGTGTTTTTTACATCGGAAAGTTCTAGAACAATAATTATAGTACTCGAAGAACCCTAATTAATAAAAATTTTCAGTTCGATTTACACGAATCCCTATAAAATACGTGAACGTAATTACTCTAAAAAGCCATACCCCAGAACAGTTTGATTATATGGAGTGGAGCAAGTCGAACACTGTTCTATTTCAAATTACTCCAAACATAACCTAACTTTACAAAGAAAACATAAACAAAAATATTTAAAATTTAAAATGAGCGGCCACGGGATTCCAGTCATAAAACAAAATGCGGACGCTGTTTTAGTGAATGACGGCAACCTGCATACCGGAGTTTTAGCGAAAAATAAGCACCTTCTGAAAAACATCCAGTGCTGGCACAAATTCTTCGTAAGTACCATTGAAACTCCATAAGTACCATTAAAACTTCATGCAACAATTTCATTGCAGGTTACCAACACGGAGGGTCTTACTCGAGATCAAATCCTCAAACCAATCTTGGACCAAGTCCATCCCTTAGATTTAATCCCGGTTTTTTTCAGCTGGGCCCCGCAGCAGAGCAATTTCCTGGCACGAAACTGCGAATTTGCCATCGAAAAGTTGTGCAAAGACAACTTGGTGGTTAACAATCCGGGTTCTACGCCTTTCAAACTTTCCATAGTCCTCAACTATGCCAACACTAACTCGATTAAAATCGATGTCCAAAAGAATGTTGTTAGCGTTTTGAAGAAGCGTTTTGATAGCGGCACTAGAGTGTTGAACTTGGATCGATTCCACGAGGATCCGGATTTGACTGAGTTTTGCCCCTTGTCCCAACCTAAGATTATGTATTTTGTTTTGCACATTGCCAAAGGGATTTTGCCGGAAGTTCTGATTTTGTCCAATAATTATATCAGGCTACTCAATCCTTTGGATGTCCTTATAGGGCTGAAAATCCAAAAAATTGATTTGAGCTACAACAAACTCAGTTCTATGGATGATATAAGTTCGTTGAAGAATTTTGCCTTGAGAGAGTTGACTTTAAATGGCAATTCGTTGTGTAATTGTTCTGAGGATGTTTATGTTTCGAGTATTAGGACCATTTGTCCTAGTGTTGAAATCCTTGACGATGTTTTAATTGTTGTGGATAAATTTTTATCTCCGAAAAAGATTTTTCTTGTGGACAACGAAGGCTCAGATATGGTCAATCAGTTTTTGGAGCATTTTTATACGGTGTACGATTCGCAAAATCGTAGACATTTGTCTGGGCTTTATCACAGTGATGCCATGTTTTCACTGACTTGTGTCTATTTGGCTGGACAATTAACTTCTGGCTCTGCTTCGTAAGTAGTCTATTCTGCAAGGCAAATGGGTTTACAGGGAATAAAGTAGCAAAACTCAAAAATTCAATAATATTTTAGCACTTTACAATGTTGCCATATTGTTGGCCTTGCACTACCACTTCAAGGAATTTTGACTATTTGGCCTAGAAAAGCTCATTTGTTTTTGTATTGAATTGCTCTATAGAAAAATAATTTTGTTTGAAATTGAAAATTTGCAGGCTTAAAGTATACAGTAACTTATCCAGGAATATTTTAAAATCGGCTGATATGTCCAAAACTCAACAATGTCTTTTTATTGGTCAGGACAGCATCATGGATGTATTTGTCAACAAGTTGCCAGCTACTGAGCATGATTATCATTCATTTACTTTGGATTTAACACACTTGACTGTGAGTTGAACTGTTTTCATAGAAATCACAAACCAGTCGTTTTTGATTGGTGCAAATCGCCAACAAACTCTGACTAGTTTGTGATTTCTTTGAAAACAGACCTGTAAACAAATTTCCAGCCTAAAACCGCAGTATTCACCATAACAGGCGTCTACAAGGAAAAACCTGTTACTTTATTGGACCAAGAACGCCTACTAGGATTCTGTCGTACTTTTGTGCTGGCAATAGAAGGCAACAAATGCGTCATAACCAACGATCAGTTGCACGTCTACAACGGACTGACTTTACAACAAAAAACCTCGTTTTTGCTACCGCAGAAAAAGCTGGTCAACAAACCGTTGATACCGTCACCAACAAAACCATCAGACTTTGCCGATTTGGTTCAAACTTTCCGGCTCATAACTGGATTGAAAAATGATTGGGCCAAAAAGTGAGTAAAATTAAAATGGATGCCAAAATTGTGACGTCATTACATAGTAAATGGCAAAGCGTTATCTTAACAACATTGGTAATACAGATACAGTGTTGTCAAGTTTGTTTAACGAGCTTAAAAATTAGGTATATTTTTAAAGATTCCCTGACGTTTTATTTATATCTAAGTATCTTCCACACACAATAAAAATACAATGTTGTCAAATTTTTTAGGTTTCTTCAAGAGTGCTCCTACGACCTCAAGACCGCCCTGGAAAATTTTGTCGACCGGTATAAGATCGACAAAATACCCCCGATTGCATTTAGCGGCGATCAAAATTAAAAACCATTTATTAGTTTTAAGTTTTCTTGCGTTATAAGAAATTACCATTTAGTTTTGTCACGTAATAATTGCGATGAAAAAGTGAAAGTTGTGACCTAAACAACTCGCCATTGAATATTATCGCAATTTAATTAGGAATTTTATGTCATTTATTTGCTCATAAGCTTCTTGGACGGTTCGTTGATAATAAAAACAATGAAAATTTTATCAGTTTTTGTGTTGGTTTTTATTGAAACTCGGAGCTGGCCTTATGGAACTTATACAAATCAAATTTCCAGTGTTCAAGTGAGTAACAATAATTAGGCCGAGTTTATTTATCTTCAGATAAACTTGCTAGTAACAGATAAATTTACCAATTTTATAGTCCTATTGGTGGGCGGATAACTGGCCAACCAATGGGATCACCGATTGTAGTTTTATTGGTCAATCTGACAGTTGAATAATCAAATAGAAACTCATTCCTATTGTCAATTTTCCAGACATTTAACTTTGTTACCCCATTTCCGGATTCCGGACGTCAAACGGCAGTACAAGAATCCTCGGCAAAAGAATCCATACCAATACAGCTAGACATCAAATATGGCGGACTGCAGCGCGTTGTAGCGGATTTTTTGAATCCTAAACCAATTGTCGACACTATACAAGAGCACGAGAAATATGGCAACGATGGCGGCAAAGGGCGGGCTATTAGCACCGCTGTAGTAGCCGCCGTCGAAGGGCTGTCAAACGGTTTGAATGCTCTCGTAGATGTGAGTAATTATTAGAAATTTGGCAACAGCGCATTAGTTATTTTTTTTTTTAGATACCATTTCAAAAAACCAAAACTATCGGACGTCAAATTACGGAGTCGCTCAATCAAGTCGGAGGGAAATTGGTCGGGTTAGCTTAAGAAATATTTGTTAGTTTTTATAAATAAATCGTTATTATTGTGTTAATTCTCAGTGATTTGGCAACAATGCATTGACTAAAATGCTCTATTGGGACTGTTGGGACCAATGAACTTGGGATAAGCATTTCAGTGAATAAGGAGATTTGGCAATGTTGCAAAGAAAATTTGTTGTAGATGGGCCATGAATATATATATGCTCCTGGACAAAATTATCGCACCACTGCGCATAAGCATCACCATAAGCAGTGGTGCGATAATTTTGTCCAGGTGTATATTTTCACAAATGCAGCGTTGTCAGTTCTAACCTAAATCAATGACAAGAATAGATTTATATAGGAAATGAAAAGACCTTATTGGTAGGCATTCGTCGTTCTGTCTCCTGCTTTTTTATCGTTTTTTACGTAATTCCATCGCTGCCAGACACAATTTTGTGTCAAGCAAACATCTGGCAAAATTCGTTTGAAAATACAGAACTATGGTTGAACCCAAAATTTAGGGTAACTTTGAAATTTGAACACTCAAAAATATTTAGTAACTACTTTTCGTCACGGCCTTGAAATTTCACTTACAGCGGGCGTTTCACTCTAAAAAGTTACTAAATTAAATCAAAATTAGACCATAGACGTTTTCCTAAATGTTTTATAACGTTTTTTAAAACTAGTTTTAAACAGTGTCATATGACGTCATAACTTCTCTGCGCGAAAAAAGGGTTTGAAAACGAGAGTCAATTGTAAGTGATTGACCAATCGTACATCTTGACAAATGAACTATTAGTTAAGCGTCATTTGTCAACAGTGGCGGCTCGTGACTGTTTCAAGTGAGGAGGCTAAAAGATTTTGAAGATTTTCAGTGATTTTGATTAACTTGTATACAAATTTTCACAGTGGCGACTCGTCAGAGGAGGCAGGGGAGGCTAAGCCTCCCCCAAAAAATTGAAAATTCAATCTCAATTTTTTATTCCTGATTTCTAATTAAAATAATAATTCACAAATTACACTTTCCAAATTTCGATATTTCAATGTAATTTAGAAAAATCTGACAACATTATTTCAATCAATCCCGCCCCTCCACGACAAAAATCTGTGAATCTGGGATATTCAGTAATACCGGCCCGAAGGGCCGGAGTTATATGCGAGCTCGAAGAGCCGGAGTAATACGAGCCCGAAGGGCCAGAGTTATACGCGAGCCCAAAGGGCCGGAGTTATACGCGAGCCCGAAGGGCTAAAATTATTTTAATTACGGGGCCCAGTCTATAATTCTATTGGTCAGTGGATAATTTGGAGGCAATCAAAAATCGGGAATATCCAAAATGTCAGGGACGGTTCTAGCTCTTAGGCCGCCCTCGTGCAAGAGCTTGTTTTGTGGCCCCCCATCATGAGAAACTTTTTGCTTCGGAGGAAAAACATATGGCAACACTGCTCATGATACAACAAACGTCAAAAAATTGAAATTTCAAAGTAGACCTTGTTTTTTTTGACAGTTGATACAAAATGGCGTGTTGAAGGTTACGAGCCCGAAGGGCTAGAGTATTAAAATCGGTTGACAATGAACGGGCTCGTATAACTCCGGCCCTCCGGGATCGTGATTAAAATAACTCCGGCTTGTCGGTTCCTATGACTCTGGCCCTTCAGGCTCGCATATAACTCTAGCCCTTGGGGTTTTCATATAACTCCAGCCCTTCGGGCTGGCATTTCCTCGGCCCTTCGGGGTACTTCCTACGTATTCGCCGAGGCTAAATTTATATGCCCATTAAAATTTTGACAGCTGTCAATCTCGAAAAAAAAAAATCTTTTGTTTTTTTCAAAAAACAAAGGTTAGAAAACAAATCGTTTTTTAGTGGGTTTTAGGGTGAGATTTATGTAGCAACAGTTGGTACAAAAAATTCAATTTCCCGTCGGGTTTGGAATTCGAATTTTTGAATTTTCGCGGCTCCTGATTGGTTTGGGAATTCGAATTTTGATTATTCCCGGCTCTTGATTGGCTTTAAATTTTGAATATTCCCGGCTCTTGATTGGCTTCAAAATAACCTATAATCTCGGCCCGTCGAGCTCGGGATTTGAAAAAAAAACATATGGCAACACTGCTCATGATACAACAAACGTCAAAAAATTGAAATTTCAAACCTTGGCTTCTTTTGACAATCGATATAAAATGACGTCTTTTTGTTTCATTAATTATTAAAGTCAATTAACAATGAACGAGTTCATTCGGATAAAACTTTTGTCGCACGACACTTTGGCAATATTGTCACCTGTCAAATTTGACACGTTTGACTTTTTCCCCGCTCTACTATAAAGGCTACAAAAATCAAACCATGGTACAAGGCAGTTTCACGACGCCAACTATCGATTTGCGTTAAAAAAAAAACTGACAGCTGTCAACGTCAAAAAACTTTTTTTATTTTTTATTTTGCGAATTTCGAGAAAAAAAGTGGTAGAAAATCTCCGGACCCCAAATACCTTAAATTAAAATTCCAAAAAAAAAAAAACAACGAAAATGACATTTCAAAATCTACTTGATAAAACCAAAGTTTTTCTCACTTACCCCGTTAAAACACTGGACATTTTTGGTGGAAAATGAAGAAAATTCAAAGCCTCGTACTTTAAATCAGTTTTCCCGACTGAAAAAGCCCCGGAAAAGTGGAAATTTGAATAAAAATGTAAACACGTCAATTGAAAATGGCCGACTGTCAAAAATGCTTCCTTGATTGAAATTAGCCACAAGCGATATTGCCACATCAAAAGCATTTTAAATGGGATTTTGCTAATTATGGCATTTAAAACTAGAAATTTTGGCTAAAAAATGAAGAAAACTCAAAGCCTCGTACTTTAAAACGGTTTTTCCTATCAGAGAGGCGGAAAATCCAAAGAAAAACCTCTAAAAATGACATTCCAAAGCCTACTTAATGAAATTTGAGTTTTTGCCACTTCCTCCATTGGAAAACTGGGAATTTTTAGCACAAAATGTAGGAAATTTAAAGCCTCGTATTTCAAATCGGTTTTCTTGATTGAAAACGGCCTGGAAAAGCAGAAAATCACTTCAATTAAAAATAGCCGACTGTCAAAACTGGCAAATGACATTTATTACAAAACCTACTTGAAGATGGCACAAGCGGTGTTGCCACATCAAAACTTCCAAAAAAGCATTTTAAATGGGATTTTGTTATTTATGTCATTTTAAAACTGGACATTTTTGCTAGAAAATGAAGAAAATTCAAAGCTTCGTATATTAAATCGCTTTTTTCCATTAAAAAACCCTGGAAAAGTCGAAAATTCGAGAAAAAAACTGGCAAAAAATCACAAGGCGTCACTTCAAAATGGCCAACTAAAAGCAACGTTGCCACATCTCATTTCGGAAAACAAAAATAACACTTTAAAAGGGTTTTTTGTTTAAAATTCAATTTAATAATAGACCTATCTCCCATGATTAGGAAAAGAGAGCTTCATTGTAATAAATACAAGTTAGAAAACAATAAAAGATGACATGCGCGCGCAACTCGTAGGCTGCAGTGTACCAGATTGTATTGTTGCAGAACAAATGTAGACAATATAATCGAACATTATAACATTAAATAATTAATATAGTCTAAAGTTTTTCACAACGCCTTAAATCAGACAAAAGAAGAGCTTTAAAGTAGATAAACATCGTTTGCACTTTTATTTCGATAAATGTTTCATTCGGCAACATCGCTTAATGAAATTGCAAAGGAATATGTCAAATATAATCTAACATAACCTTAAACGAAACTGCGGTGAGTTCAAGTAATATGTAAAGTATTAGTTTGCTCTTTGTCAAATTACACGTTACAAAGAAAGAGGGAACGATTCATTCTGAACTGACCCCTGAATAAGAATATGACGCAAGCCTGTCATAAACGTGCTTCTCATTGGACGCTCACCTGCAGCCTACAAGCGACGCGCGCAGTCCAGGTAATAGGAGATCGGTCTATTAAATAATAATGATTATAATAATTAAAATTCTCGAACTAAATTATAGGAAACTTATTTTTAGTTTAATTTCAATGAAAATGACATTACAAGGTTTCCTTATTGATTATAGTGAGTAAGACAAAGACAACGATAAAGTAGTATATGTTTGCAAAAACCACTGTTTTCTGAAAAAAGTAAACTCTTTGATCAGACGCTAAAAATCGCATTTTAAATACTCCCGGTTTTTAATTGGCTCTAAATTTTTCTGCTGACTGATAGAATTATAGACTGAGTCCCGTGATTAAATTAACTCTAGCCCTTCGGGCTCGCGTATAACTCCGGCCCTTCGGGCTCGCGTATAGTTCCCAGATTCACAGATTTTTGTCGTGGAGGCGCGGGATTGATTGAAACAATATTATCAGATGTTTCTAAATTACATTAAAATATCGAAAATTGAAATTCTGTTGTGTAATTTGTGAATTATTATTTTAATTAGAAATTAGGAATTGAAAATTGAGATTGAATTTTCAATTTTTTGGGGGAGGCTTAGCCTCCCCTGCCTCCTCTGACGAGCCGCCACTGTTTGTCAACCAATTGGTCTGAAAATGCATTGTTTATCTGTCAAGATAACCGACTGGTTTTCAATGGTTTCCAAAATCCTCATGTACTTTAAATTATTCTGGACACCCTGTATATTAACTTCAATCAAAAAACATAGTATTCGTTTGTAAATTTTGTTTATTTAAGAGCAAGTAGGAATTTATAGATGATGGCTTAATGTAAAATTTACACTAGAAAATCAAATATTCTTTTTTTTTGTTTTCACTAAAAACGGGACTCTTCGTCATCATTTTTTTTTTATTTTCATCGTTACAACGCAAAAATTTAAAACAATAAATTAATTAAAACTTACCATAGTTAATTGATTAATTAAAAAAAAACCGGCCCTCCTTTCGGTAACCAATTTTTTTTGAATAAATGCCATTTTACTTAGTTTTTGGTTATCGAAAGGCTCCGTCGCATTTTTTTTTCTTACATAAATTAATTCTTAAATTAAAAAGAAAAAAAAAAAAACATAATTTTGTCCATATTGCAATAATTGAACACATTGTCCTCTAGTGGTAAAAGTGTCTCAGACCTAATCCAACCCTGGTTCCACAGAGTCTTGGGCTAAAATTCAAATAATAAAAAGAGGGAGGGAGAGAACCAGGGCAGGCCTTAGCCGTTTTTAAATAGACAAACATTCAATTTTATAGAATAATTGTGGTTCTATATTACAATGTTGTCACTTGTTGGAAAAAAAAATTGGATGATTGATAATAAAGCGACAATTCGAGTCCTGTCCTGGGGACTAAATATGACCTAATTTTTTTTTTATGAGTGACTTGAGAGGACAATTTTTTTAAATGCATTTTTTAACTTAATAATTATTGCATATAGTCCCGATATAAGGTTTTACGTCTTCACACAAAAATCATTAAAAACTCAAAAAAAAATAAAATAATAACAACTGACTCTTTACAGACATTTTGTTCAGTATGAAAAAACCATTGGCTTGAAAATTTACAAACTAGATTTCATGCACAGCCAGTTGTGTGTAAAATAATTTATGTCATATGTCAAGTATCAGTAAAAAAAAATACAGGTGGCAACTCAGCACCCTAAAAAATGGTAATTTTTAAAACTTGTCATACAATAATTGAGGCCTAACGTGTGTTTTTGTATCAATTGTACCAGGTCTGTTTTCACACAGAAATCACAAACCAATCATAGAGAATTTCATTGGTTGAAAACAGTCAGAAAACTGTTTGCACCAATCAAAAACTCTGACTGACAGAACAGACCTTTTGTCTCCCTCTCAAGCCACTCCACTCCGAAAAAAAAAAAAACCTCACTGAACCAACTTTTGTGTCTCTAATGAATCACGACGGGGCTTTGTTGCTGCACGCACTGAACTCCCACCATCGGACTGCCGTCGTCCTTGCTGTTGCCTTGAGCCTGTTGCTGCTGCTGTTGCGGTACCACTTGGACTTGGGGCTTGGCCACGGTACCGTGATGGTACCTCGACCGACTGCTGTGAGAGAGGTACATGTCGCAGTCCATGGCCAAATAGGCCGATTGCTGGTTTGGGTAGCGACTGACAAGATTTAACCCTGAGAAAAACAAAATTGACAGTTAAACAATGCTTTAAACGTCAACTATCAAAAAAGTGCCCAATTTGATGGTAAAAAAATTGACACTTCAAAACCATTACACATGATACATATTTTGATACTCTAATGCTCCTTGATAAATGAATAAATAAATAAATAAATTACCATACCTGTATACATTGTTTATAATTATTATTTTTTTGTGGTTAACAAATCTATGTTAGTCATTGATTAGTACTGGCTCCTAATTGGTCGGCGTGTAAAGGCAAGAATACACACGAATCAAAAAGTGGTTTCGAAAAAGCAAAAATTCTTACCGTGACTGTTATTGGTCGAGTCTAGCCCGCCGACTGCCGGACTGCTGCTGGAGCTGCCCTGATTGGCCGCGACTGCCGTGTTGGTGCTCTCGTCTGTCGTCCGTTTGAAAAAGCTGTGTTGCAGCGCGTAGTACGGTGTGATGCGGGTCTTAGGGTCGTAGTCCAGCATACGCATTATTAGGTCCTGAATTGTACAATATACATCAATATTATTGTCCAACTGATAAATCAATTTTTTTAGTTTTTTACATCCCATCTCAAAATAAGACAAAGTGACAAAATCTACTAGGTAAGTTTTTTAATAGCGAGCCACCTCTGGGTTGGTTTTAACTCCAGGGTAAACGTGTCCATATGCAATATTTACCCTGGAGTTATGCTTAAACCACAGGTGACTTGCTATTGAGAAGCCAGCCCTTAAGATAAATAATTCACAGTCCTATACAAAGATGCAACCGGGGGACATTGAAAATGCTTGTGACTGTTGTGGGATCTGACATAACTCAAACATTAATTTTCGAATCCACCAAAGTAACCCAAATAATAAAAACTGCTCCAACCATTTTCGAACAGACAAAGCTGCGCTGAACAGTTCAAACTGCTCCAAACCGTTTACACTGCTTCAAACAATTCGAATTGCTCCGAACCGAAATGTTTTGAAAAAAGCTATTGCGAAGAGTTCGAATTATTCCGCTCAGACTTAACCCAAGGTTGTTGTCACAAGTAAAAAAAACTATGTAAAATCTGACCTCTAAATAATAAATAACTGGCGTCTAACACTGTCACGCTATGCCATGAAACTAAGAATTGGCAACTATTCGGAGGGGCTTGAACTATTCCGAGCAGTGTGAACTGTTTGTTTGGAGCATTATCATACTGTTTGGAGCAGTTTCGACTGTCAAGAAATTTTAAGCTGTTCGGAGCAGTTTGAATTGTTTAGTGCAACTTTGTTCGGAACACAACATTTCGGACTGTTCGTAGCAGTTTAAACCGTTCGGGGCAATTTCGAGCTATTTGAAATAGTTCGAACCATTCGGAGCAGCTCTGTTTGGAACGAAAGAATTATGTTTGGTTCGCTTTAGGGATTATTTTAATACAATTTTTCTGAGTGCCTTTTTTACATAGATTTCGGCTTCAAAGCTGAGAATAATTCAGTGTATGGAGTTTGGAGGATGTTGATTGACCATTAGGATACAAAATCCCGAAAATAAGAAAGTAACAGAAATAAAGTAGGATAAGAAAAAATGTAATTGTTCCTGGGGCTTGAGTGAGTTTACATGTAATTTTTGTATCTGGCCAATAAAAAGCCTAGAATAGGTAAGTAGGACAAAGAAAAAGGCATAAGAAATTCAACGGTTGAGAAAAAGATAGAGATAGAGTGGAATAGATTAAATAATGAAGCAAAATTTGATTATTTTCGGCGCTTGAGTGGCTAAGAGCTTGGAATAATAGAGAGACAGCAATACAAGAAATTCAATAAATAAGAAAGAAACAAAAATAAAGTGGGATGATAAAAATTTCACAGTCCTTTACGAAGATACACTGAACAGTTCAAACTGCTCCAAATAGTTTACACTGTTCCAAACAGTTTGGACTACTCCGCTCAGACCTAACCCAAAATTGGTGTCACAAGTAAAGAAAAACTATATAAAACCTGACCTCTAAATAATAAATAAATGACGCCTAACACCGTCACGCTATACCATGAAATGCAACACAAGAATTTCGAATTCGGTACCCCTAACTAAACATTTTAAATAATCCGACATATAAAAGCCTACTTGAATCAATAACAACTTGGCAACAAGGCAAAAAAACAGCCAATAATAACTGAAATAACTGGTGACGTCATCATCTTTCACAATTTCAATTTCAAATGAAAAATCACAAAATTTCTTTTGCGTAAATTCTACTTGCCTTAAATTTGAGATAGTCCGATTGCGAATGACCAGGTTCGCCTGCTCGTCGGCTTCCCGGGCCCCCGTTGTCCACTCCTAAAATGTCTTGCAACCTCCTGGTGCCCGAGGCTTTGTACTTTTTTCCCTCCTTTGTCTTTTTAAGTATGAACCTAATTTGGAATATTTTAGTCAGTTGTGTCAGAATTTCACTGACGAAAGTGCAACTTAACTAAGACCCGGTTTATTCATTTTCTCATAAACCGACATAAATTCAATCTATAATTCTATTGGTCGGCCATTGTAACTTTATCTGAAGATGAATAAACCGTGCCTTAGTGGTCTTATTTTATATTGCAATCTCATCAAGAATGAAAATCTACTAAAATTCTTACCGTCTATCGCCTGGAACTTTCTCGAAAAACTTCCTCGTTTTACTGGCCTGATCCAGTAAATGCTTGGGCGGCATCCCCAACACCTCGATAATCTTATTCATCTGATCCACTTCATTCGAGCCACTAAACAGCGGTTCCCCGGTATGCATTTCAACCAAAATACAACCCAACGACCACATATCAATAGCCAAATCATAAGAAATTCCCAACAAAACTTCAGGCGACCGATAAAATCGTGACTGAATGTACTGATAAATCCTTTGGCCTAATTGGCAAGAGCTGCCAAAATCGACTATTTTGATAGCAGACCTTTTGGGGTTGCACAGCAAAATGTTTTCGGGTTTTAAGTCGCAATGGATGATGCTCAGTTCGGGGGTGGATAGGAAAAGTAGGGCCGTGCAAAGTTGCTGGGCGAATTTTCGTGTCAAGTTTAAGGAAACACCACGGAAGTTGGTGTTGCGCAACAAGTCGTAGAGGTTGTAGGATAACAATTCGAAGACTAAGCACAAATGGTTGCGCCACATAAAGTGTCTTTTTAACTTGACGATGTAGTATTTGTTGTCGATGTCGGCTTTGTTCATCATTTCCAATAGCTTGACTTCAATTTGGGCTTGATTCAAAAAAGGTTTTTTGTTTTTTATTATTTTTACAGCGACATTGCATTGATCCTCAATGTCGTAGGCTTTGACAACTTGGCCGAAAGACCCTTTACCGATCAACGAATCGATTTCGTATCGATCCATGAACCTCTCGCCGGCCTTGATGATGTAATCGTGATTATCGTCGTCGTAGCCTTCATTGTAAACTTTTCTCTCTTTTTTATGCGTGCTGTCTTCGGGGATTTGAGCTGCTCGGCGCTTCTTTTTCGCGTAGTAAACTTCGTTTATGTGCTTGTAGGTTTTGATCAGGTCGACGCTGAGTTTGCGCAGTGGTCCGCTAGACGGGTCGCGGAACGTCAGAGGTATCCGCGCTTGCATCGCCTGGATGTCGGTTGTGGAGGGGGCCGAGGATATCGATGCGCAATCGTCGGATACCAAACGACCGTAGAGTGGCACATGGCGTCCGGTTGATGATGTAGACGACGACGTCGACGATGGGACTGCAATTTCAAGATAACAGTATTAACAACTATTGATTGAAAGTATTTTTTAAAAAATCATATAGAAAATAAACTTATCAAGAGGACTGCATATTGGTCTGTGAACACAAGAGTCCTCAACATTTTGCAAACTTTTAGAAGGTATCATGCATAATATACAGAGTGGTCGTTATATATGGAAATGGCCTAAGATTCCACAACGCACCTGAAAAAAATGTACAATGATTCTGGGTTTTTGGGAATGGAAGAACAAAGAAGCTGTATTGCCATATTTCGGAAACCAAAATCGAATTTTCGCAATGAATGTGAGTAGTTCATCCAAGGACGAAACATAGTTTGTCTTCTGACGTCATGAGTTTGAACGCTGGCTTTGCGTTCATGCTTTTAGCGAACTACGTTTAGTATGACGTCATGAGGAGGACTCCCATTAAAAAATAAAAAAAGTTTCATGCAGCATCTTAGAAACGGTGAATTTAGCAACATTGCAAATACCACCATTGAATTGGGCATTCCCAAAAACTCTCAGGATCCTTATTCTCGAAACAGAAATGCAGTATTCTCATAAGATCAAAGGTTCTATCTAAGTCGCCCATGTTTATATTTCCATAATACTGAAAAAGACAGAGCAATCGTTCTCGTGAGAATGCTGTTCGAGAATAAATACCCGGGTAAAAAATATTATACATTTTTCTCAAGTCCATTCTAAAATATTAGACCGTTTCCATACATAAAGACAACTCTGACAGGAGAGAATACATCATCATAACATAACAGGAGAAGATAAATATCATTATAGGCCTGAATATTTCAAATTAGTCGATTTGACGTTCTATGAATTTAATAAGGTTTGTTTCTGCAGAAATCACAAACCAGTCAGAGTGAATTTCATTGGTTGACATTAGTCAGAAAACTAGTTTCAACCAATGAAATTTACTCTGACTGGTTTGTTGTCATTTCTACAGAAACAGACCTAATATTTAATACTAGCAGATACCCGGCGTGTGCTACTACGCTAAAAAAAAAGTATATTTTGTTTATTGTTGAACAAAACAAATTTTTAAAGACAGAGGTAGTTCTGACAATCTGTCCACCTCTCCATCGTTACATTTGACAGGTGACATCTGTCAATTTTTTTCAAAGTCTCGTGGCGTTTCCGATTCTGAACACCGGGCAGGCATATGACGCCCTTCTGTCATATTTTGACAGCTGACATCTGTCAAAAATTACATTCGACAGCTGTTGAGTATTCCAAACTTAGAGTGTATGCAAAATTTCAGTTGCGAAATAATGGTTCAAAAATCTGCATCTGTCACATTTGACAGTTGACACCTGTCATTATTAAAAATTCCAGTCAAATTTAATCTCTCGTTAAGTTGGTGTCAAATGATAGTTTATGAAAATCTAGGATAGGAATGTAAAATCCGAGGTAAAATCAGTTTTCCTCTAAAATTAACCGTTTAGGTTTTACAGCCAAAGTTGCAAAAAGTCAATTTTCAACTGTCTGTCTGTATAGGGTATATTACATGAAATCTGCTCAGAATTTTACGTTGAATCTAAATATGCAATCACATGCAAGGTGCTCCATTTGAAATAACAAAATTCTAACGCATACGCCATAAATGGAATACTCTGTACCTATATTCAAAAATATTATTAACTAATGCATATTACAGTATCGAACAACTTTGTATTAATTTTTTTTTTATCATACTAAGTGGACACCCTTTATATAAAAGATGGCGCCATGGGCTTAACAAAATTAGAGACCCTAAAGGTACATTTACATTCTATTCCAATTCAAATGGCATGTGATATTGACAGTTGAGTTGTAGAGGGCGCTATTGTACTTGAAGCTTGTTAAATAGTTGCACGTGAAACTGAATGTGAAGACCGGTTTATCAGTGGACGGTTACCAATTAACCAGTTAACAATGATAATATTAGTTAACTGCTAAACCGGTTCCAAGTCAAAGCAATAAGTGAAATGTTATTAGAAAAACCTAAGATTAAACTAAACTTTTGAGATTAAAATTACACTCAGTTATTCCACAATTTACCAAGCTCCAAGTACAGTAAAGCCCTCTACAACTCAACTGTCAATATTACATTCCATTAGGCAGGAGTCTCATGCATGTCCGAAAAACCTTCTATTCTGACATATTTGTATACGATTATGTCAGAATAGAAGGTTTTTCGGACATCTTTCGTCAGATAACTGATGCATGAGCCTTCGGCTTTAGCCTATCCAAAACACGTGACTTAGACAAGCAAACAAGGTTTGTGTGCCTCTTGGCGGACATTTTAATTTAAGTTTGACAGCATCTTGGATAATCTAATAAATTTGTCAAGACCTTTACCCTAAGCCCCAACCAATTACAAGTTATATTAAAAGTCACCTAATAAAATCAAGTGACCCTCAAGCAGAGCTGTTCCAAGTACAGGCAAAATGTACTCGGGTACCGAATACAAGTACCTGGCTCAAAATGTACTGAGGTACAAAGTACAATTACAAGTATTCAATACGCAAGTAATCAAAGTACCCAGTACATTTATGAATACATTTTATATAACTTGCAAACCAATGACGTCATGAAAGTTATGACGCAACGTCCTCTTTTTTGGTACCTAATTATAAATATTCAATTTGTATGCCTGGTATGCATTATAAATCTTATAGGGCGTATCCTAACATAATATACTTATCACCAAATACATATGCAGGTACTAAGAGTCCAAAAAATTTTACTTAGTAACTTCAAATATACAATGAAAATAGTATAAAAGCATGTACTCAGGTATTTTGAAAATTACTCAGTAAAATAAAAAGTACCGGTTATTTTTGGTATTCTTGAGCAGTTCAAGTACGAGTACACGATGTACTCAGTAACTCAAAATGTACTTAGAGCAAAATTGCAGAGAACTTGTATGCAAGTACCACACAGCTTTGTCTTCAATACAACCTGTGATTGGTTGGGGCTTATGTCATAGAATAAGAAACAATCAGAAGGAATACAGAAAAGGTCTGTTCGCACAGAAATCACAAACCTGTCAGAGTGAATTTCATTAGTTGCAATTAGTTTTCCGACTAGTTTTCAACCAATGAAATTCGCTGTGACTGATTTGCGATTTCTGTGCAAACAGACCTAAAGAGAAATCCGATTTGCTTTTCTATGAACTCGATTCGGGCGAACAGCGGAAATATCAGGGGCGCACACTAGTAAAACCTTCTTCCGCCGACATTCACCGTCAAGAATACTGATAAAACTAACTGGTGACGCGCAACCACTGAACATCTGTCTATCGTGTCTCTCTTTCTGTGTTCATTCTGATGCATTATGCAAAAACTGTGTGTAACGGCCTTTATGCCCACGGCGCCATATTGAATATTATTCTTATAAAACGACACAAATCGCCTAATCAACACTTCGCAGTGTTGCTATATTGACATAGAATATGTAATTGCAGTCGTACAAATAATCTTTTGGTAATTATTGACAATTATTGTACACTGTGTCCCCATGGTGAACTTATTTTTATTTTTTTTTGATATTACGTTTTTAAGGGTTAGTTTACATCATAAGTGCCTAGTGTGATGCATCATTTTAAAGAGAAAAAAACAAACAACAAATTTTTACTTATTTTGAGACCAAAAAATACCCCATTTAAAAAATACTAAGTTTGGGTTATATCTCGAAAACTGGTTGTCAAAAAAAGTTTTTCATTACAACACACTGGATTCTACGTAAAAATATCCATTTATCAAGGTATCTATAGCAGTTTTCACCGTTTTTCTATCTTACAGGACGAGTTACAGGGTGTCCGAAATATGATACCACCCCAAAGAGCGCAAATTTTTCTATTTCACCCTGTGTATCTCAGGAATTGCTTCCTCCCTGTGGCAAAATTCTATTAGCGGCATTCAAAATTTCACGAAAAACTAATACAGGGTTGCCAAAACCGCAAAGTTCTGTTGGTTACTGAGAAACCCTGTGATTAACAAGCAATTTGGGATACAGTATTGGTTATAAATGTCACCCCCTCTATCTTTTTTATCTGATCTTTTTGAAAAAAGTATCTCAAATAAAAGTGTTATGGTTGAAATTGAATTTTTTGAAAAACTAACTTTCGCATATACAGGGTTTGCTCAAATGTTAACCGTTTAGGTTTTACAGCCCATCAAAGTTGCAAAAAAGTCAATTTTGTACTGTCAATATTTTCAAAACAGTTGAACTTAGGTATAGGGTATATCACACGAAATCTGCTCAGAATTTTACGTAAAATCCGAATATTGAATAATATACAGGGTATTCTATATAAAATAAGAAAGTTGGAGCACAACCAGCTTTTCTGAAACACCCTGTAGGTATATGCGAAAAAGAGTTTTTCAAAAAATTTAATTTCAACTATAAAACTTTTATTTGAGACACTTCTTTCTAAAATGTCAAATAAAAAAGATAGAGGGGGGTGACATTTATAACCAATAACCCTGTTCCTAATAACAAGTTATTGTCAACTATTTCCATGTATTAACAAAATATTTCCACATTTCCCTAGTATTATCACATATTACCAGGTATTGCCATGCTATTGACAGACTAAAATCAAATATTTGTCTTGCCAGAATTCTAGGTATTGACAATAAGTATTTACATGTTATTAATGGGTATCAACCAATGACATTAACATATATTGCCTAGATATCTACAAGTATTGACACATATTACCTACATAATTAACAAGTAGGTATTGCATAGTATTGACACTATTGACATAGTATTTACCTGGTATTGACATAAATTAACCAGTGATTTGTACACCGATTAACAAGGTAAAAACCCCCTCGTTTGCACCTTGAGGAGACATTGAAATACCAGTTGCTTCTCAGGTGCAAAAATGTTAAAAGTTAAAACAAATATACAATTTTCTGTCTAAGTAAACACAAGCACCCTAAAAAACACAAAAACAATCACAATAACCCAAAATAAATTTTCAAAATCCCTAGTTTTTTTCAACCCTGTATATTATTCTTGAAATTTTGAATAAGGCACCACTATAATCCTTTAACAGGAATTTAATTAATTATGTATTCTAGAGAATATTCCCTTAGATTGGTTTGTAAATCAGAATAGGATTATATTAGATTAAAAAAATCAGAAAACCCAACAAAAATAGGGTTTTTATTAAAATTTTGAGACACCACTTTTATTTTTTCACAGGGACTTGATAGAATATTCTTGAATAATGCCTTAAATTTGTTTTGCCTCAGGTTTTTATAATCAGTAGGAGATGAAGGGTTGAAAATATCATAAAACTCAACACAAAAGTACCTATCTATGTATGTACAGGGTCTGTTCCTTATAATTAGTGCGGCTTCTAAAACTTAAACAAAAAAAAGTTAAATACAAAAGTTGTACGGTTTTATCTCTATTATCTTCCGCATATGTCAAAATGGAAAAATGCCAGGTGCCAACTGCCATAATGACAGCATTTGCATTTTTTTAAATTGAACACCCTGTATATTTTTTTATTCTGTGCTATTTAATTTTAAAATTGCATTGAGCAAGCCTCATCAATGATGTAAAAAACCGGAAACAGACCGAATTTAGGGTTATGTAAATGCATTTTTAAACTTAAATAGTGTAAGAACAGCTGAACCAAATATCAACATTTATGGTATATTTGAAATCAGAAGAAAAAAATCTATCATTCTAGCTAGAAATATACATGGTGTTACATTTAAAAAAATGCAAGTGCTGTCATTATGACAGTTGGCACCTGTCATTTGCCCATTTTAACAAGTAAGAAAGATAATAGAGATAAAACCCTACAACTTTTGTATTTAACTTTTTTTGTATTTGTTTTTGAACAGACCCTACAGTTTAAAACTTTTTTCTCAAGATTTTAGATGAAGTCTTTTCATATTTTAAACAATCATGAGAAATTTCTATGCTACTAAATTCTCCAGTTAAAAAAGCTAAATTTTCATTTCCAAAATGAAAAATTGTACAAAATCAAATTGAGGTACAGAGTTATTGGTTATAAATGTCCCCTCCTCAATCTTTTTTGTTTGACATTTTAGAAAAGTGTCCTAAATAAATATGTTTTTTAAATTTTCTGCAATCTGCAACACCCTGTATGAACAAAACTATGTTTTCTGAGAACTATTTTTCAAGCACTACACCTTTTCTATTTACACTTCTTTTATACACAGTGGTACAAAAAAATTAAGGGGGTCGGGTCGGGAAACATCCCTTGTATCAAGTCAAAATTCTAACCAATAAATCTATTTAGTGCAGTGGTGTACAATTTTTTTTTCCTTTACCAGTTTACTAAAACTATTATGTTCAACACTGATTTATCAATCTGACACGATTTTGACATTACAAAAGAAGTAAAATTTTGACACATTAGGGGGGATGCTTATATAGTGTGTGCCAATTGCAATGATTCTCACTGTACCTATGTATGTGAGTAATAACCCTCGACTTATCGCAACACTAATATTGTAATGAATGAGTTCATCAACACCTGTTGGCATGATAACCAGAAAAAAAATTTTTCATGTGTAAATTTCCTTGTTACTACACTAGTGACGTAATCAGGTCATTATTTTAGTAATTCATTATTCTTCAAAAAACAGTTTTGTATTAAAATATAGTACATTTACTGGTGAGTATAATAAAAGCTCATTTATCACACTAGTTAGGTATGTAAATAACCATAAATTTCATAGGTGGCGCCAAAAGTAAAAAAAAAAAAAAAATTCAGGAAACACAAAAATGCAGGTAAACTTATTAATAAAACAATTGCAATTCAACACCTCCAACCTTCCTGGTAGGAGGCGTTTTATTTTTAGGTCAATTTTGGCAACCGACAACAGTTGACATTGACCCAAAATACACTCGGGTTTAATTTTTTACTCACTTTTCTGCTTGTTCTTATCCATGAGCATGTTATGGTCGTGCTTGTGCCACGCCATCGATGGTGGTGAGACCATACACCCTCAACAACAACAACAAATTATTGTTAACCTCCAAAAATTTCGAGAGCGTAAACCAGCCTTTAGATTTGACATTTTTGCATTGTTTTTTTTTCTTGTCTCGACTCTACGATCTACAACAAAAATTTTTAATTGAATTTTTGCAATAATAAAAACAAATTTAAATGTATTTTGAGTGTCTACCTTCCGTCCCTGCGTCGCGACAGCACAATGGGCCCGTCCAAATGTGGCAACCACGTAATGCAAAAGGGTCAAAAACACCACAAACAAAACAATAACAAATTGGTGGCTCGCTTAATAAAAACACCAACTAATTCGATTTTAACACTTATTTGACACGAATTCTTAATTAAACCACACCAAAAAGGAAACGGTTGTTGAATTGTGGCTACATTACACACTATTTTAGCTCACGGTTTGTAATGGTGGTTGTTTCGCAGTTTATTCCGAGGGAAAACTCACTAAAAATCACACTGGAACACTTAACGACGGGTATTTAATAACAAACACTCAACAGTGAACACTAATTGGAGTCAAATTTGTTTTAGATCGCTAAATTTTTCCAATAATTTCACAATAAATAAGGACAGGCGTGAGAGGGCCACAGGATCAGCTCGGGCCACTATATTGACGGTGGGGGAAATGTCAAAATTTCCATCCGAACACGCACGAACCGTTGTTCAGGTTATTTTGTATAGAGGGCGACAAACTAAAATCGACAAATCTGTTTTAGATAAAGTAGAAACCTGTAAATTTTTGTAAGTTTCCTTTGGCACAAGACAACATGATACAAATATTTATTTCAAATAAAGTAGAAACCTGTAAAATATCTTGATTTTTCTTTATGTTGTCCGTTGATAAATTTTCCTGGAAATTTTTCACAACATAGCGTCATAGCCTGAGCTATTTCGTATAGAGGACGCCACCATAAAAACTGCCATCTTGATATCATAAAATCTGTTTTGATTAAAGTAGGAACCTGTAAAATAAGTTTTTTTTTTGTATTTCCTTTTTTTTTTTCATGCTAACTTTTCTGTTTTTTCTTATTTTTCTTTCTTTTTCATTCTTATTTTTTGTTTATTACAGGCTCTTGAATTTTATTTGTATTTGAAGGAAATTCATTTGCTCTAAAGTTATGCTCAACCCCAGGGTGACTTGCTATTGACAAACCAGCCCTCAATACTCAATAGTTTCACAAATCTTTTTTTTTCAAAGTACACCACTGACTACGAATAAAGCCTAGTACTCATAACTGCGAAATTCGCAGGTTTTTGACATTGCTTCGACAATTTGACGTTTGATACACGCATAAAACGTCAAATTGTCAACGCAAATGTCAAAAAAATGCGAATTTCGCAATTATGAGTACTAGGCTTAAGGGTGAATTTTCATGCATCCGTTTGTCCGACGAAAGATGTCCGAAAACATTCTATTCTGACATAATCGTATAAAAATATGTCAAATTAGAAGATTTTTCGGACATATTTCGTCGGACAAACGGATGCATGAAAATCCACCCTAACACGAACCTACTACAAACGTCAGATTTACAACGTTGCCGCACTTCTCCAATAATCCCTATTGGCTTTCTTCATCTCACTCTTATTAGTTGTATTCCTTTCAAGAGCTTGAAACACTCGAGCTACTCGTTCCGGTGTTCAGCCGCCCCCGATTTGCAGGGAAGAGATGCGTGGCGCAACAAACACTTTTCGTAAGGAATAAGCGCGTGAAGCCCCGGAGCTGTTCCGGAGCTCCTCCTAGGTGTGAAAGGAATACAACTAATGCAAGTCAGTGCTGGCCTAATGGAACTCATACAAATCAAATTTTGAGTGTTCAGTAAAAAACAATAATTCATATTTTTAATTTTTGTAATTAAATAGAAACTTACTCCTATGTCAACTTTCAGACATCTATGAGGCATTTACTTGTTAAGCCTAGTACTCATAACTGCGAAATTCGCATTTTATTGACGTTGCTTTGACAATTTGACGTTTGATACACGCATAAAGCCTAGTACTCATAACTGCGAAATTCGCATTTTTTTGACATTGCGGCGACATTTTGATGTTTTATGCGTGTATCAAACGTCAAATTGTAACAGCAATGTCTAAAAACTGCGAATTTCGCAGTTATGAGTACTAGGCTTAAAACGTCAAATTGTCAACGCAATGTCAAAAAAATGCGAATTTCGCAGTTTATGAGTACTACGCTTTACCCCATGTCCGGATTCTGGGACGTCAAACAGCAGTAGGTACAAGAATCCTCGGCAAAAGAATCTGCACCAATTTAGTCAGAGCGAATTTCATTGGTTGAAAATAGTCAGGAAACTGTTTGTAGGCGACTTGGAACAATCAAAAACGCTCTGAGTGGTTTCTGATTTCTGTAGAAACCATAGAAACAAACCTCCAGACATCAAATATGGTGGACTGCTGCAGCGCCACGTAGCGACAATTTTCAATCCTAAACCTACGATTCTTGTCCTAAACCGATCGTCAACACTATACCAGCACGAGAAATATGGCAACGATGGCGGCAAGGGTCGGGCTATCGGGAACCTTGGGCACACCTACTATAGGATAGTTTATCCTCCAGGGTCCTTATTCTTGATACAGGGGAGAAGCGTTCCCCAGAGAACGAGTGTTCCGTCTTTGTTACTTATATTATAATTTGAATATTATTGAGAAAGACAAAACACTCATTCTTCTGGGATCGCTGGTCCCTTGTTTCAAGAATGAGGTCCCAGAAGGCCTGTGTGGATAAAATTTCAATCCCCCTCCTAGTCAAAGAACCAGTGATGACGTAGCTGCGTGTCATTTCTCGCCTTGACATAAGGTGTTTGCGCTGTGGTAGTAGTGTGTATTATCCTTAGTAGTAACCTTCGTCAAAGGGTTGTCACAAACGGTTTGAATGCTCTCGTAGTAGTTCTCATTAATATGGCAACGTTGAATGCACTAGTTACTCAAGGATGATACACATCTACAGGATTGCTTATCGGCCTCGTTTTTGGTAATCGCCACCATATTGGTATGTCACCATTTCCGACGTCATAACTGAGTCGTCAACTGTTTAAACAACCTACGTCAAGGCGTGAAATAACATGCTGCCTAAACACCCTAAAGTCTTTCCATTTTAATCTGATACTGCAAAACAATGTGAGCTGGTGACTCCCTATACATTAAAACGCCAATGGTCACTTGACGTCACACCTGTTTTTGCCATAAGCTTTACCCCCTCGCTCCTCATACGGAAACTGTCAGATAACAAACGTTGGACAATACATGACAACTGGTGATTTGGTATTGGGACGATAGGAAAGAGAGGGATTTTTTACACACAGGTCTTATGAGGATAGGCCATTCTGTAGTAGTACTTTGTATCATCCATCATAGTTACTGCCCTATTGGAGCCAGAATTCCAATAAATGAAGAGATTTGGCAATGTTGCAAAGTCAAACAATACATTTTTATGTTTATGTGCGAAAAATCCTCAAAATGTTGAAAATTATTTCTAAATTTGATCATGGTCTATATGTTGTGAAAATATTTTCACAAATGCAGCGGTGCCAGTTCTACCCAAAACCGACAACAAGATAGGATTTATATTCCAGGAAATTAAAGGGGGTGTGCACCAAAAATTGAAAAGTTTTAGTCTAAAAAAATTTAAGAATAACTGTTCAAACCTCGTTATTTTACGATAATCCATCGCTGAGATATATCGCTTGAAAATGTGTGTGACGTCACGAGAGCTTCATCCAGCCGCGCTCCGCATTGTTAATTTGATTGTTACCGGCACGCGTCAGTGGTTTTTGTTTAGATTATTGCAGTTGACACAGAAAAAACATATGTAAATTCAATTTACTTCACTATCTCGTGAGTCGATCGAGCTCTCGTGACGTCATAGGGTGAGATGCGGTACCTTAATAGAGCCATATCTTCGGTATAATTTCCCATAGAAGGGTGCGGTTTTCACTGTTATTCTTAGGATTTTTTTCTCTTTTTTTTGAGATAAATAGTTGTTTTTTTGGCGCACACCCCCTTTAAGAGACCACATTGGTTAGATCAAGCAAATATCTGTCAAAATTCCTTCGAAAAGATCTATGAAATTTTATTAATCAACTAACATTTTTTAAATCTAACAAATAAACAGAAATCATTTTGGTACATAAACCGAATCTCCCAAATGAATCACTCCCGTTTTGAGTACTTTATGGTAGGTGCCCATAACGCCGGTTTTTATAGGCCCTTCAGATTTCCTGTACCTAAAAAACCAGATTTAAAACTAAACATGGCAACAGTGTTTTAACGTACGAATCCAAAGTTTTCAGAGGTTGTCTTTCTTCATGGAACACGCCCGAGGAAGATACAGTAGTAGTGATGCAACGGGGACATTCCATCACAGATTCTGTAACGACGTTGCCAAATTTCACAAAAGTCCAACGGTCTTCTGCAAAAGCTTCAGGTCCTAAAAACGAACTTCAACTTATTCAATCCGCAAAGTTATTACGCGATTATTACCTTCAATTAAAATATTCGGCCTAAAATTCATAAAATCAACGCCATTCTCTAGTCGTTCGTTTAAATTTTGCACTGTTGCCGCATTGACCGCGTGCAACGCTGCGTAATCGCTGAAAATCCCCGCCAAAGTGTCATCGAAACCTGGATAGTGTCCAGCCAATTTTGGATTGTCTCGGACTAGAGTCCTGGCAGGGTTGCCGGTGCCGTATCCCAATCTCAAACCTTCGTTTTTGTTTAGCAGGAAGCTGCTCAACCAATTAGCAACGCTGTGGCCGCAGTCAGTTAGTGTGAACAGCTCTTTACCAAACTTACTAAAAATGTTGAGCAAGTTATATGAAGTAACAAGCATTAGGAAATTTTTCACTAGGATAATCAAGCATAATCGATTTTACTGGACTATGTGATGTGTCAATAATTGTGCCATACTCCCCTAACTCCCCCACCATCAGATTCTGAGATACTCGAGGATTTTCTTTTGTGAGACCAAAAATCATCTTTTCTACATTCCAAATCGACGAAAAAATTAACTCACTAGCACAACGCAAGCATCCCATCGAGGTCTGCGGGTGACGTCATCACTATAAGCTGCTGATAGTGACGTCACTCGCAAGTCCAGAATTGGATGGAAAGGCAGTTAGGGGAGTATGACACCGTTGTCACATCACATAACCCAGCATAATCAGATCATGCTTGATTATCCTAGCAAAAAATTGGATATTAATGTTCTTCTTACGCTCTGATATTGTTTTTAACTTTGGGTAAGTTTATGTAGAGGTCGACCTTGTTAGGTGCTTTCAAAATTACACCATTTGAAGCTGCCTGAATGCTGATTTGGATGATTTTTGGTAGTTGACGTGCTGACCGTACTTCCAGGTCTTTGCTAGTGTAGATGCAGAATGTTCTGGAATGAAGGGGTCAATGAAATACACTCGGAGTGGTTTGGTAGTAGACTACTCTCTGTTCAACGAACCTACAGAGTATGATAGAGTCAAAATGACAGCCAGGTTTACACTGAACACTGATTTATGCCATTTTATTTATTTCAAAATCTTACAAAACATCACTCTACAGTGTAAAGCGGGCTGATAAATGACCAATAGTAACGAACCTTGTTGAAGGTTTTGTTGCTTTTCACTCCTTAGATTGGTTGGACAGAGTATAGAGCCGAAAATTTAACTCAAATTATTACTCTCACCTGTCCTGTAACAAAATAGTATTGTCATTCTTGTCAATTTCCCTTACTCCCTTTTCTGTCAAAAATAGTTTTTCTGATTTGATTCCTTTGGTGCTTTTCATCGGAAAAATGTACAGTTCCTTCACTGTGCCGACTTTCACCCATTCTGTTGGGATTTTTTTTGAATTTTTCAGTTTTCCCAGGACTTTTTTCAAAAAAAAGGCACCTGAAAAATTTATGGCACGGCACTGATAATGTCACACAGAACGATCGGATAAACTAGTTTACTCAATGAGTTAGGAAAAGACAGAAATACTCTTATATTAGTAGATTAATACAGTGACGTGGGGCAAGGACGGTTAAACATTTTTTTTTAGAAATAAGGGCTGAGGAGTTGCGACTAGAAGGAAAAATGTTGTTACGTTCGATTTTCTTTCTGAGGAAAAATAATTTACTAATGCTCACCTATAATAGTGATCAATACACTACTGATACCAATGCCAATAGCAGCGTTAGTTGCTATTTGCGCCATATTTAAATTTAAACTAAAAATCGCCGCTGCATAGAGATAAAACGCTAAAATCTCATCATAAGATTAACATTGTTATTTAACATGTTCATAATACCAAAGGTGGCGATTAGCAAAATAAATATCAAGGAGGATAAGGTCAGGATCATTTGGAGGCTATGCAATGCCTAAAAAAAAACTTGTTACGCCACTGATTGGTTTATTTAGATTGGATGCATTTAAAAGGTCATCATTGAAGTCATTGAATTTTTATTATTTGCAATGATAGTATACAGGCTGATTTGAAACTAATAACTTTCATTGACAGATAAACAATGCAATTAATGTCACTTTGTAGCTGATTGGTTGACAAATGACGGTTAAACTATTGTTTAGCTGTCAACCAGGGCCCCTGCTCCTTAGCCATACTCCTTGTAGCGTTTTACAAATCGATCGTAGTCATCATACACCTTGTACACTCTTTGACGTTTCTCAAAACCTCGTTGCCGATTTTCATCCAATCCCAATCGTCCTCGAAGTACGCGTCCAAATTCGTACCCTCGACAACGACGTTGGACGGAAATTGTCGACCGTCAATTCTCCGGTGTCGATGCGCTTGTTCAAATCGCTAACCAACGCTTGGTTGAGCAACAATACCGTTGTCGAGTCGGAATAGAGCCCCTAAAACGTCAAATTATTGTCACTTGCGCGTTGACAGCTGTGACAGTTCTTACCGTAGCGCTGGACAAGTTGATGTAGTAGTCGAACAAGGTCTTGTGGATTTTGCTCGTGATCCTTTTCGCCGTAGACTACTAGACACCTGAAATTCGAGCGTCTGATTGGTCGATGGCTTTTTTAACCAATCGAAAAATGACAAGTGCGTACCTGTCTCGTAATTGAAAAACGATGTCGCTGTCGGGAATTTGCCTGAGACTGCACTCGGTGCATTCGGCTGAAGTGAGTTTGATTCGGTGACCGTTTTTCAGCGGAAACAAGTTGAGTTGGCTGAGTTTTCCCACTTCTTCCCAGGACCACGGAAAGATTTTATTTTATTTTTTCTTTTGGTAAATGTATAGCGACGCCACTGACATTTATGAAACGAAAAAATGCAACGGAAGTTGAGACCAACGATATCGATATAGGTAGATACTTTGACACTTGACAGTGACAGTTCCAACATGGCGGCAATCTCCTAAAATTCAAATTTTCATTGCTACCTTGTGTGAACTATGCACGTTAATTTAAATTCTGAGGCTCTTTTGGCTTTAGGTGTTCGATTATTTTCTATCTTTTTCTTCCACATCAACGAGGATGAGGTCAGGATCATTTGAAGGCTATAATAAATTGACAAGGGAAAAATTCAAATGTAGATCGTAGATCAACTAATTAATATATTTACACAGCAACAATTCTATAATTATTATTATTTAAAAAAAAAACAGATCAATATTTATAATGATTTCCTAATGTTTGACAGTTCCATTCGATTGATGATTGTGCGCCTTTTTGGGCACGTAAATGCGGTCGCCCAATTTGATCACGCCGCCCACTTTGACTTCGCAATTGACGCCCATCACCGGAGATTTATCCGGTCCATTGCTCATGCGATATCTAAAAAAAATTGTTACTTTGTTACGCCACTGACTGGTTTATTTAAATTGGATGCATGGTCATCATTGTCGAGTTTTTATTTTGTGATGATAGTATACAGGCTGGTTTGAAACTAAGCAATTACATTGACAGATAAACAATGTATTTAATGTCATTTATAACTGATTAACTTATTGACCGTCAAACGCTTGAAAACTACTTACTTTTCCAAAGTCTTCAACGGTTCCCTATCCGAACTCCTATTAGCGTTTTCCGGATCAATCGTAGTCATTATACACTTTGTACACTCTTGGACATTTCTCAAAACCACGTCGCCGATTTTGATCCAATCCCAATCGTCCTCGACGTACGCGTCCAAATTCGGACCCTCGACAACGACGTTGGGCCTGAAATTGTCGACCGTCACTTGTCCAGTGCCAATACGCTTGTTCAAATCGCTAACCGACGCTTGGTTGAGCAACAGCACCGCTGTCAAATCGGAATAGAGCCCCTAAAACGTCAAACTATTGTCATTTGCGCGTTGAAAGTTGTGACAGTTCTTACCGCAGCGCTGTTTGACAAGTTAGTGTAGTAGTCGAACAAGTTCTTATAGGTTTTGCTCAAGTCCCTTCTGCGACTGGCGTCGTGGAAACCCAGCCTTAGGCCCGAATCTTTCCCTAGAATGTAGCGCGAGAACCAAGAGGCTGCTTCGTCACCACAATCAATCGCGTAGATTTCTTCGCCTTTGTGCAACCTGGGATTCAAATTGTAGCGTTTTCGAAAATTAATTGCACCAATACTTACTTGATAAACGACTCTTGATCCTTGCTCGGTATTTTGACGTACAAAGTTCGCATAGTAGGCGCGTCCACGGCCAAATACTCGTTGTCGTGCACCGATACGTCAATTAGCACCATTTTCGGATAAGTTCGGGCCGATCGGAATTCGTGGTCTTTTTCGCCATAGACTACTAGACACCTGAAATTTGAACGTCTGATTGGTCGGTTGCTTTTTTAACCAATCAAATAACGACAAGTGCCTACCTATCTCTTAATTGAAAATTGACATCATTGCTGGGAATTTGACGTAGGCCAAACTCGGTGCATTCGGCCGAAGTGAGTTCGATTCGGTGACCGCTTTTTAGGGGAAACAAGTTGAGTTTGGTTAGTTTTCCCACTTCTTCCCAAGACCACGGGACAATTTCTTCCTTTTTCTTTTGGTAAATGTAGGCTCCCACTGCTGCCACTAGCGACGCCACTGACATTAATGTCAATTTGACGTAAAGGCCCATAATTGGATCTATTTAGAGAAATCGGAATTGAAATTATCATATTTTGGGTCGAGACGTTGTATTTTGGATGATATGGAACGAAAAAGTGCAACGGAAGTTGAGACAAACGATATCGATATAGATTAATAATTTGACCGTTGACAGTGACATTCCTAACATGGCGGCAGTCTCCCATTTCCGGTAGAAGATTGGAATCTGACTTAAATTTTGAGGCTCTAGGGCCAATAAAATTGCGTTTCTAGTTTCTAGTAGATAAGAAAATTGACATTATCATAGCGTTTTCTTTATGTGTAATAAGTATAACAGAGTGTATTTCTGTCTTTTATTCTAGAACTGAAAATTACATCGCTTTAAATAAAACAATGTAAACGTATACGTAACTGATTCTATAGACAGCATCTGCGAGAAGTCAATGAGTTCGTTTACATGGTTCACTTTAAATAGTTTTGGTTGTCACTCATAATAGCGGATTATTTTTGAAATTGTAGTATAAAACATTGTTTAAACAATAAAGATAACCTTTATTTTATATGAGGTCGCGCGTCTGGCGGATTTTTCTAAAATTATGTAACCTTCACCTGATTTTTCATGCTTAAAAATGTTAATTTTTTATATTCTATTTGTGTAATATTTTCTCAAAAGACTATTGAAGATAATATATTGACGTGTGCGGTCAACTTTAATTTTGAATGCACATTCTAAGCTAAAATTTGTATTGAAATTAACTATAAAAATACGTTTAGACTATGAAAATTATTTAAATAAATTAAATGCATGTGACTTTTTTAATGACCTAAAAAAAAAACCAATATAACTAAATGGCAAATGCAAATATAAACTTTTTTATGTGTGCAAATACCCTTTTTTTGTTTATTTTACTCCTCAAACAATTACAATAATTTACCTTCTTTTCTCATCGATAAAAACTATAATTAACTGGTACTTACTGAAGATTATTCTTTCACAACTTCAAAAATTAATCCCAAAACTTATTCACATGATTTGGTTTAATGCGTAACAGTGTCAACATGGGTATTGTACTGGCTTTAATGTGGTACCAAATTCAATTTTATTCCTCATTGAGTACATATGACCTTGGACTAATAGGTACTATAAAAGAGCGAGAGAGAACCATTTGCAAATTTTCGGGTATAAAAAGGACAAAGTATTTTGTGAAAGTGCTCATAATTTGAATTTTTTACTCACAAACTACAACGCCCAAAAAGTATTAAACATTTGTAGCTTATTTCAGGTTAATCGTTGATAGATGTCACCACTTACCTTGAGCTCACAGAAACTTTAAATTATTTGATCATAGATGGCACCAAAAAAAAAAAGTCGATATCTTCCAAAACTGAATCATTCATCAGCTGTTTCAAGTGACATCTCAACCAAAACAAAACTCCTGGCAAATCCTATTTATTCATAATCAACAAACAATGATAAAAACCCAATAGAGAAAAAAAAATACGTTCGTGGCATTATGTCAAACCTCCAGGAAGTGCCCACAGACGACTTGTTGTCGTTCCAAGACAACTTCGTAGAGTACCCGGCAGTACCAGTGCACCACAGTCCCACTAGTTCCGCCACAGTATCGATTCCGGTCGCTCAGATCGATATTTCGGGGAATTTGATTAAATCGAGTACCAGTGGTAATTTTGAGGGCGATATGAATAGGCCTGAAATTCAACAAGATTTGGGAGGCGGTGGTGATGGAGGTGAGTGTTTTTGGTGTAGTAAGACTGTTGCTAAGTTGTAGTGTGAAGCTGGCTTTACTCACATTGTAGCAGCACTTCATTAGACAGAGTGACCTGTAGCAGCCGCCCTATCCACTGTCAGTTGTAGCAACACAATTCAATGTTATATTCATAATCAAATGTTTAACTAAAATAGCGAGTTTCAATTAAAATAAGCCACATTATTTGAATTTGTAGCAACACTTCAAACGTCATTTAAAATGTTGCTAGGGTGAATTCGCCATTTTGTTTTTGTTATTTTATTGATTTACTTATGTCGATGGAAAATACAAAACAAAATGGCATCAGAATTGATTTGATTAACTGAACAATTTCAGTTTTTGATTATTCCCAGCTCTTGATTCAAATCAAGTGCCTGTAAAAATCACTAAATTGCAAAAAAAAAACAGAATGACGACGTGTACAAAAATTTCATTGAAAATGTTTCTAAAATTCGCCATTTTGTTCTCAGTTTTACGTCAGGGAGAAGCTACAAAATGGCGTCAGCTTCTTCAATGTTCAATTTTCGATTTTTTTCTGGCTCTTGATTCAAATTAGTACCTACCTGTAATAATCACTAAATTGCAAAAAAAAAACAAAATGACAACGTTTAGAAAAAATTCATTGAAAATGATTTCAAAATTCGCCATTTTGTTCTCAATTTTATGTCAGTGAAAAAGCTACAAAATGGCGTCAGTTTTCTCGATGTTCAATTTTTGATTTTTCCCGGCTCTTGATTCAAATCAAGTGCCTGTAATAATCACTAAATTGCAAAAAAAAAAACAAAATGACGACGTGTAGAAAAAAATCATTGAAAATGTTTCTGAAATTCGCCATTTTGTTATTCTCAATTTTATGTCAGTGAAAAGCTACAAAATGGTGTCGGTTTCCTCAATGTTTAATTTTTTATTGTTCCCGGCTCTTGATTCAAATCAAGTGCCTGTAAAAATCACTAAATTGCAAAAAAAAACAAAATGACGACGTGTAGAAAAAATTCATTGGAAATGTTTTTAAAATTCGCCATTTTTTTCTCAATTTTAAGTCAGTGAAAAGCTACAAAATGGTGTCAGTTTCCTCAATGTTCAATATGTGATTTTTTCCTGGCTCTTGATTCAAATCAAGTGCCTGTAAAAATCACTAAATTGCAAAAAAAAAAACAGAATGACGACGTATACAAAAATTTCATTGAAAATGTTTCTAAAATTCGCCATTTTGTTCTCAGTTTTACGTCAGGGAGAAGCTACAAAATGGCGTCAGCTTCTTCAATGTTCAATTTTCGATTTTTTTCTGGCTCTTGATTCAAATTAGTACCTACCTGTAATAATCACTAAATTGCAAAAAAAAACAAAATGACAACGTGTAGAAAAAATTCATTGAAAATGATTTCAAAATTCGCCATTTTGTTCTCAATTTTATGTCAGTGAAAAAGCTACAAAATGGCGTCAGTTTTCTCGATGTTCAATTTTTGATTTTTCCCGGCTCTTGATTCAAATCAAGTGCCTGTAATAATCACTAAATTGCAAAAAAAAAAACAAAATGACGACGTGTAGAAAAAAATCATTGAAAATGTTTCTGAAATTCGCCATTTTGTTATTCTCAATTTTATGTCAGTGAAAAGCTACAAAATGGTGTCGGTTTCCTCAATGTTTAATTTTTTATTGTTCCCGGCTCTTGATTCAAATCAAGTGCCTGTAATAATCACTAAATTGCAAAGAAACCAAGATGACGACGTGTAGAAAAAAATCATTGGAAATGGTTTTAAAATTCGCCATTTTGTTCTCAATTTTATATCAGTGAAAAGCTACAAAATGGTGTCAGGTTCCTCAGTGTTCAATATATTTTGATTTTTTCCCGGCTCTTGATTCAAATCAATAAGTGCCTGTAAAAATCACTAAATTGCAAAAAAAAAACCAGAATGACGACGTGTACAAAAATTTCATTGAAAATGTTTCTAAAATTCGCCATTTTGTTATTCTCAATTTTATGTCAGTGAAAAGCTACAAAATGGTGTCGGTTTCCTCAATGTTTAATTTTTTATTGTTCCCGGCTCTTGATTCAAATCAAGTGCCTGTAATAATCACTAAATTGCAAAGAAACCAAGATGACGACGTGTAGAAAAAATTCATTGGAAATGGTTTTAAAATTCGCCATTTTGTTCTCAATTTTATATCAGTGAAAAGCTACAAAATGGTGTCAGGTTCCTCAGTGTTCAATATATTTTGATTTTTTCCCGGCTCTTGATTCAAATCAATAAGTGCCTGTAAAAATCACTAAATTGCAAAAAAAAAACCAGAATGACGACGTGTACAAAAATTTCATTGAAAATGTTTCTAAAATTCGCCATTTTGTTATTCTCAATTTTATGTCAGTGAAAAGCTACAAAATGGTGTCGGTTTCCTCAATGTTTAATTTTTTATTGTTCCCGGCTCTTGATTCAAATCAAGTGCCTGTAATAATCACTAAATTGCAAAGAAACCAAGATGACGACGTGTAGAAAAAATTCATTGGAAATGGTTTTAAAATTCGCCATTTTGTTCTCAATTTTATATCAGTGAAAAGCTACAAAATGGTGTCAGGTTCCTCAGTGTTCAATATATTTTGATTTTTTCCCGGCTCTTGATTCAAATCAATAAGTGCCTGTAAAAATCACTAAATTGCAAAAAAAAAACCAGAATGACGACGTGTACAAAAATTTCATTGAAAATGTTTCTAAAATTCGCCACTTTGTTCTTAGTTTTATGTCAGGGAGAAGCTACAAAATGGCGTCAGCTTCTTCAATGTTCAATTTTCGATTTTTTTCTGGCTCTTGATTCAAATTAAGTACCTACCTGTAATAATCACTAAATTGCAAAAAAAAAAACAAAATGACGACGTGTAGAAAAAATTCATTGAAAATGTTTTCAAAATTCGCCATTTTGTTTTCAATTTCATGTCAGGGAAAAGCTACAAAATGGCGTCAATTTCGTTAATGTTTAATTTTTTATTTTTCCTGGCTCTTGATTCAAATCAAGTGCCTCTAATCACCAAATTGCAAAAAAAAGCAAAATGGCGACGTGTAGAAAAAGTTCATCGAAAATGTTTCTAAAATTCGCCATTTTGTTTTCAGTTTTATGTCAGTGAAAAGCTACAAAATGGCATCAGTTTCTTCAATTTTTGAGTTTTCCTGTCCTTTGATTCAAATCAAGTACCTGGAATAATCACTCACGATAATTCCTACAAAAAAAATGGCGGTCAATGACACATGCAGAGCAGGGTTGCCAGACGTCCCACCTTAGGAGGGACAGTCCCGCATTTTGTTAATCGGTCCCGCCTTTTTTTTTATTAATTTCAGGTCCCGCTTTTCACGTGAATTGTCCCGATTGTCCCGCTTTTTCCACCCAATCTTTACATTTAGTGCAAAAAACACGCTCATTTTACAACTTGTAACATAATTAGCTACTTCTTCATTTAAAATGGACGCATCGCCTGAATCGCAAGCATTTCATCGAGGTCTGCGGGTGACGTCACCACTATTAGCTGCTGACGTGGTGACGTCACTCGCAGACCTTGTGGACTCGAGAACCGGCGAACGTACGCCTTCTCAGGATGAGCAATCCTGTTAGTTTACGATTCTTGGGTTTTAATAATAAATGTTGTATGATTTGTAGGTATAAAACTGTCAAAAATTCCAACAAAATCCAAATCTCTCATTGCACAAACTAGCATCTGCAAAAAACTTTTTTTCTGGCGATTGAAAAATAAACAACTTTCGTCAAAAATCATTTTTTTCTATGAGCGTTAGAAAATAAACAACTTTCGTCATATTTCACCTTAGCCGAAAACGTCACTTTCGTCACTAGGAATTTGGTTTGTGAGTCCATGCGTAGAAATATTTTTATTTATTATTTTGTTGCGTTTATTTTGTTATCTAATAAAGAAGAATTTTTTTTTGGTCGAGTTTTGGTTGAATTCTTAACAAAATTTGGGCGTGACTCCAAAAAATTTGCTTCGCTTTTGCTCCAGGGGGTCCATAGGATGGGGACACATTGAGCACTTGCCCCTCCCCCCACCCCCTTTTGCTTTTGGGCGTGGCACCCGAAACAAATTTTTTGCCTGCGGCGAACTTTCCTTCTGAATAACATCAGTCCCGCTTTTTCATTTCATAGATCTGGCAACCCTGATGCAGAGAAAAATGACTCAAATGACATTTTGTAGCAACACATCAAATAGACGCCTGACAATTGTTTTTGACCAATTCCAGAGCCGGTTCCGCCATCAACAAAATCCTTTTGGACTCTAGACTACTACCAGAAATTCTTCGATGTCGACACCAAAGACGTCCTTGACCGCATCCTAGCATCGATAACGCCAAAATGGGACAACAGCCTCAAACACCACCTGCGCACCAAACCTGACCTGTATGGACCGTTTTGGGATTTGCGTCACTCTGGTTTTCACTATCGCCATCAGCGGCAACGTGACCAACTACTTGCAACACGCCAGCACCAAGTACCACTGGAAGTACGACTTCCATTTGGTGTCGTACGCCGCTACCACGATTTGTTTGTACGTGTTGCTATTGCCTAGTATTTTGTGGATGGTGTTGAGGTACACGATAATTTCGAGTGATGTTGAGGAGCTGGAGCAAGACAGGGATGTTACTCCAGGGGCATTGGAGTTGATTTGTATTTATGGGTATTCGTTGTTCATTTATATTCCGGCCGCCATTTTGTGGTCGATTCAGATTAACTTGCTGCAATGGTTGCTGGTACTTGTAGCAACGTTTGTTTCGGGATCAGTGTTGCTTTTGACGTTGATGCCCGCTTTGAGGTTGTCACGTCACAAGTGGCTGCTGGTTTTCGGTATTATTGGCTGTCATTTGTTGCTAGCAGCTGGATTTATGTTGTACTTCTTTCACGTTCCAAATACGGTGCCAGTTAAAATAATTGTTCCAGATTTGAGCACTGTTAAACCTGCAGTGGTTAAACTGGTTGATAAGGTTGTTAATGGGAGTAGCAATTCTCATTGAGTATTTTTAAATAAAAGACTTGTCAGTGTGGAATAAAATTTGAACACATTTATTTCAGTTGTTTTGTTTTGGGAGGGGAGGATACAGGGTGGTCTGCTTAATAGGAACTAAGTGTTCAAATAAAGTAGTCCGCCCTGTACAGGGTGTTTCAAATTCGTGTCACATGATTGGGATGAGAACAAAGTTGCGTATTTTGATGTCAACCCTGTATCTTTCATAGCTCGAATTTACGACACCCTGTATACATTTATACAATAATTAAAAAAGTGCATATATAAAAAAATAAGTCTTTCAATAACAATATAAATTAATCATCAACAAATATTTTTATCTCTTATAAAAAAACACTCACTAGTAAAATTAATGCTAAAAGCTAAAGACATGCCTGAAAAGTGTTAATACACTCAGAAAAATATACAGTTTGTTTCACGAGGGTTTATACTTTTGACATCGAAGACGTCCATAACAGACAAATTATGTCAAAAATACAAACCCTAGTGAAACAAAGTGTACCTAATTATTAAAGCTGCACAATGCTAAATTTATAGATAAAATAGATTCTTTTTTATTTACAACCAATTGGGGTGAAAATTACTTATAACAAATGAAATGGGTGTAAACATAGCAAGCTAGGCAACCAATCTTACACCTGCAATATTCTATCAAAAGTCAAATATATGCCCGACTTTGATTGGTCAATTTTACACTTTAATTCGAAACGAGGCATTCATATTTGACTTTTGACAGATAATTTACATCAACTTTATCAATTGGCTACATTATTACACACTAGTACCTAAAATGTCCTTTTTTCGATTTGCTATTATGGTACACTCTCAAAGGCGTATAAGAACCATTACCGTTCATACCTGTAAAAACAATTAAATTAACTTTTATTCCAAAACAACAGATGGCGTGTTTCACTTACTTTGTATTATGGCAGGAGCTGGATCGGGCGGCAAATGGACGGGAGCTGCGCATTTCGGTTTCAAATAGAAATGATAAGCGCAGTAGTAGATAAAAGCTACAATGGCGGCGGCGATTGTGAAAGCCTGATGCACTCTGGTGAAATTGTATGGGTATTCGTCATGCGCAGTTCCGCCGAGGAACGCACCCACAAAACGACCTAGAAGAAATATGTCAAATGTTATAATTTTGACATTTGTAAATTGGATTTTATGAAATGTTTTGTTTGTTGAGAGAAACGATGGGATTTGATCTGTGAGAGAATGAAACAAAACACATCTCTATGTTTTTCAAAATGGCATGACTAATTGATGTCATATACAGGATACAGGGTATACCATTTAAAACGAAACAGACTAAATATCTAATGTCACTGTTTCTCCCTTTTGAAAATCAAATTACGTGTTCGAGCGATTTTTCAAAAAATAAACGTATTATCAGATATTTAGCCTGTTTCGTTTTAAATGGTACACCCTGTATTTCAACGTCACTGTATTACAAATAAATGGCGATTGTAATTTTTGACGTGTAATAGCTCACTAATAAATGTCGTCGCAATAATTAGTGTAATCTATTCATTTTGAGATTTTTCAATTTTTTTTACTTACCGAGGCAGAAATGGGCTATCACTGGTAGGGCTTGACCGCAAGCTGTCAATTTTCTGGGCACCAAATGACGTAAGTAGAGGACAGCAGTGACGTACATGACGTGGAGGGTGAAAATTTCCAAAAATTCGCACAACAGTAAATATGGTGCCGGGTTCGAAGTGTCGATTAGTAATAATGCTGCAAACAATCGAAAAAAACAAAAATAATGTCAGATTTAAGTTAAATGGTGGCAAAAGCCTTAAAAATGTACAGGGTGGCCCGTTTATTTTGTTCTATCTCGGTATATGAGAATCTAGATATTTTATGGCAAAAAGTTGTAGGGCTTAAATTAAAATTAATTTGTTTTCTTGTATTTGCGCATATACAGGGGGTGTCACAGAAGTGTGACATATCAGATTGATTTTTTTAAAACACCCTGTATATTTTTATATTTTTTGATAGCACTTTTAGAAAAATATAAATATATACAGGGTATCCCACCGGGAACCAAATCGATCTATATATGAAAAACAAAAACTGTATGCAGAAAATGTTTGAAAATTTGACAGTATACTAATGTCAATAAGGGTAACCTGGCTAAAATATTTTCAAGATGGTGGCACTTCCGGCTAGTAGACGTCAAATTGTTTATTTTAAATGAGACACCCTATATATGCATAGTTGGATTCTACGTAAAATTCTGAACAAATTTGATGTGATACCCTATCTAAGTCCCACTGTTTTGGAAATATTAGCAGTTGAAAATTTACTTGGTTGCAATTTCCGTTAAGGTTTTACAGCCCGTCAAAGTTGAAAAAAGTCAATTTTCAACTTGTCAATATTTCCAAAATAGTTGAATATAGGTATAGAGTATATCACAGGTCTATTCTCACAAGAGTTTTTGACAGGTTGCAAACTGTCAGAGACTCTAGTGAGAACAGACCTCACATGAAATCTTCTCAGAATTTCATGTAGAATCTAAATATGCAATCACATACAGGGTGTCTTATTTAAAATAAGCGAGTTGACTGTCAAATTTAAAAATAAATCTGCATACAGTTTTTCATATACAAGGTGTCCCATCAGGGACCAAATCGATCTACAGGGTGTCCCACGAGGTTTTTCCCAAATGATACCTTCGGAACGCATCATCGTATGTTCCACTGTATAATTTTTTATTATTTTCTTTAACAAACCCTCAACAAATATGGCATTGCCGATTTTGAAATTTAATTTTCTAACGTAAAATGCCATAATATACCATGAGTTACATTTAAGATTCGAAAGCTGACGTCACTTGATCGAAATTGAAGCGAAAGTGGAGAAAATGGATGACAATGGCAGAAGTGGCACAAAAAGTTACCCAGATCCTCAAAATTTCAATTACAATTGGATGACGCGTTCCGAAGTTATCACCTGGGAAAAACATCGTGGGACACCCTGTATATATGAGAAACTGTATGCAGAAAATTTTTGAAGATTTGATAAGTATACTAATGTCAATGGGACAACCCGGCTTAAATATTTTCAAGATGATGGCACTTCCGGTTATACCGGAAGTAGACGTCAACTTGGTTTATTTTAAATGAGACACCCTGTATGTGTTGCCAAAAATCAATTTCCAACTGTCAATATTTCCAAATAGTTGAACTTAGGTATAGGGTATATCACATGAAATCTGCTCAGAATTTTACATACAACCCAAATATGCAATCACATATTAGGGATTCTCATTTAAAATAAGCAAGTTGACGTCTACTTCCGGTATAACTGGAAGTGCCACCATTTTGAAAATATTTTAGTCGGGTTGCCCCCACTGACATTAGTGTACTGTCAAATTTTAAATTTTTTTTTTACAGTTTTTCATATAGATCGATTTGTTTCCCGGGTGGGATTCCCTGTATATTTATATTTTCCTTTAAAAGCGCTATTAAAAAATATAAAAATACCTATACAGGGTGTTCCATTAAAAAAAATCTGATATGTCATACTTTTTTGACGCCCCCTATATATGCGCAAATACAAAAAAAAAAACAAATTATTGATTAAATTGATTTAAACCCTACAACTTTTGCACCATAAAATATCTAAATTTCCATGTACCGAGATAGGACAAAATAAACGAGCCAACCTGTACATAATTATTTCAATTTCTCACCATAGGTGGCTTTGCAATTGCTGTCAATTGTCAAAAGAAACATATGTTTTTCCTAGGGGGCCTTGGAAATTATTTCAAAGGCAATGTTGTCTTGTTATTACTTAAAGCAAATTCTATTGGTAGAACCAGTGCAGAAAAAATGTATTTTTATCTCTTTCCTATACAAGTAGGTGAATAAAGACATGAATACCCTCAGTGCGCATTAATTCGCTAACAAACGGTTTTTTTGATACTTTTTAGCTAGAAGTTTGACAGTTTTGATAGATCTTTGGTGCTGCCACCTGGTGAGCAATAAAATAGGAAGTTTTTGACGTCAAAAAATAAGTTTATTTTGAGATCGTACTCACCTAAATGATGCAAAATATAATTAACGAAACAGAATATCAATATATTCGAGTGTCCGCAATAATCTACAATTTTTTCAGCGAAAATCAGGAAAAGGACTGCAGGAATTGCACCAACGGTTATCGTCAGACCGATTATGAGCGAAGTACCGGCTGATAATTTTGCTATATGCCTGGAAAAAAAATTTGAAAATTTATGAGTTGATTTTGGAAAAATTGATGTATTTGAATGACGCTATTGACGTATCATTTCCTGTTATTTTGACAGCAATTCTATAGGTCAATCTGCCTCTATTTTGATGTATAGAATAGAAAGTGACAGTCGAGATAAATACTTCATGAACTGCCAGGAAGGGATGCCATCTACTGTTTAAGGATTAATCACCATGCACTTGTTTTGCATTAATACCTCCTTTACATTCAAATTCAAAGTTTTTTATTGATAGATGTCGCCCTGCTCGCATTACTGTCAAAGCATGAGACACTGTCCTTCATGTACCGGTATTTTACAATCCCTACTGATGCCAGAGACATCTAGAGGAGAAGGATAAAGTAATTTGTGGCTCATTTCTGTTAATTAGAGAGCGACAGAAACAGAATATGATACGTCATATAGGTAACTCAGTGATTATTTCTAAGTTAATAAGTTAAGTTACCATGGCAAAAACGAGTCGATAGAATTCCAGAACACGCCCAAACTGAACAAAATCGCGGCCAACGCGGCCGTTTCCAGGCCGTAACTCCTCACCGCGGACATCGGCAACGCCAACAGGCCGCACCTGGTGTGCCACCACCATTCCGGCGGACTCAATGGCATTTTCCTACAAAAAAAAAACTTTAAAATCAAAATCGCATTGCACATGACGCTACTTACTCGTCGACCAATAGAATTATCACAGCCAAGGCCATCAAGACGGTAAAACAGATTGCTGCTTCGAAAAATCGACCGTCTGCGCAGCCGCCTATTATTGGCGCGAACAGGCCGAAACCTAACGCGGCGCATGCGTATTGTTTGCCAATATCGCCTCTTCCGGTTGACGTTTCGCGCGTTGCTATAACGACGGCTGTTGCTAGCAGAGTAACTGCTGCTGCCACGAAAATGTCCGCAAAGGATTTGATGAAGAGGTACAACCTGGAAAAAAAAAACTATATTCTATTTTTCAATCATATAAATGGCTTTATTATAAGTAGTTCATTGGCGTGCCTATACATATCAAGAAAAATTAACAGAATATTTATCGCCTACCAGTAACTTATATTGTTGTAGCCGCACTGCGATTGCTTCAAGAGAGAGTTGCTGTTGTTGTACGGGTCTTGGATTGCACAAGTCACTACAGGGTTGCAATTGGGGTCGCCACTGTCGCGTCGCAGCTCGTCGGCTTTTTTCGTTGGGATTCGGCAATGGAATGGTTCATCTGAAACAAAAATTAGCTGGTAATACAAGATGGCGCTACAGTTTCAAATGTGACATTATTTGACTCACCGAAAGGATATTTACAAACATCCTCAGTTGTGTTATCTTGAAGTTCTAAACTAGCAGTTAATCCTAACATTAACTTGATGGAGAAAAACTCAGTGTAAACTTCACAAACGTCATTGTCGGAAGCGTTTTTAAAACACAAGTGTGGATAGGGTTCCGGCAAGTAGTCGGCCGGGTTTTGAGGTGGCGCCACCTGCAATTTTCTCGTTAATAAAACCATCAAACGTTTCTACAATATTTATTACCCCTTCAGGTTCGTTGATTATATTGATAGCGCCGTCGTAGTAGTCGGCGTATTCGGGACTGGCGTCCTCTAGCGGAGCCGCCGTCGTAGTTTCGCCTTTGTACGAAGTCGAAGTGTTGCAAGAGAAAATGCAATTCTTGACTAAAACAACGCCTTTCTAATTGATTAATAATTAGCATAAATAATTAAAATTAATCGAATTATTTATTACCCTTGACCCCCAATCATAACATGGCCGCTCGCCTCCGCATTTGTCTTGCAAAATGAATCCGCCGCTTTCGTCGCACATAAACGACACTTCCGGTGATCTTGTCATCTGGAAAAATAATTGTTTATGACACAATGGTGATTAAGTTCCGAAACTTACCACTGGTGGTACCAGAGTTAGCAACCAATAGAAAATCGTTGCCAGTACGCAACATGTTGAGATCATTACGCGCAAATAACGGCCTGTTTTGCTTCTTGGACCACCAACAGCTCCACCTATAATAATTATAATTAATTAAAGTGACATTAAAGTATAGTAGGCTTACCTGCTAATCTATCAGATAGTGGAGCGGCCACCAGAGGGCCTATAAGGGCTATTAAGGGAGCTATCGCTGAAATTATGATCGCTTCGTTTCGGGGCAGGCCTAGTTTGGTTATGTGGTTGGGGATAAAAGGTAAAAGGGCACCAAGAGCTATATTTAAAAAAAAAATAATTATAACTGTTGCTTGAAAAATCTTATAGCTACTTACCACCAAAAAATAGGAATAAAACGCATTTTAGCGTAATCAGATTTGGATTTAGCCCCATTGTATTCATCTTGTTTTTTCTAATGAAATATTTTCATGGCTTTTTTGAGGTTTTTTGTTGGCTAGGGTGAGTCATCTGAAATAAGTCATCAATGTATAATTATTCTATGAATTTAAGCACGTATCAAATGCGATGAACGTGATTTATTTTACTTTCTTTGTTTTGAAGTCTGAAACAATATACACTTCCATTCATAAAAGTAGTACCTACTTGAAGTACGACCACTTGAAATCGGAAATGTAAACAAAAATAAATCCAAAGTGAAAAAGATGAAGCCTGGGTGCAATGAAAATACACACCGACCATATGTTTGTAAAGATTTTTTTTCTATTTTTAGGTGGAAGAAAAATTGGTTTTTGATTGTATTTTGAAAATGTCGTTTTCATAGTAGGTTTCAAAACCTCGTCCTACTATCACCAATGACGTCATCTCCTACTTTGAGGGTTTTCAAGCGATTGACCAGTTGATAACTTTGACAGATGAGCAATGCATTTTAGAAAATTTAGTTGACAAAAGACGTTTATTTCATTGTTTATTTGTCAAGTGTTATAGACCAGTCAAACGCTTGAAATCCTCTTTTGTTGTAGTTGAAAATGTCAGCTATTATTCAAATTCGATTTTCCGAATACTGACTTTACTTTAAAGTTATGTTCTCTCATTGGCGTTTGCTACATATGACGTCAGCAACATTATGTTATAAAGATTGCAATAATCTATAAGTTAATCTCAATTATAAAAACATTATAATATGAGCTAGAAAAACTTTCCGTACAGTAAAATACAAAAATCCATTTGAAAGAATGTGCTCAGGGTCAGTTTCCACCAGTTGAATCTAAAAATAAACGGATGATGTCCCGGTGTCAAATGTCAACCGCAAACGGACAATTAAATAATCGTTTTTTGTTTGTATAAATTACCAGCAAATATTAGCCTGTTGATTTCAGATTATTTATAGAAATTGTTCAATAATAATTGTCAGAAAAATGTGTTTTAATGATTGTTGTTGGATCTGAAATAAGTAATTTACCTACACTTGTACTAAAAACTGTACAATTCCATAAAAACCCATTTTTCATATATGTTCATAATGTAATACATCAAACGTCGGTAATGTATTACTTTCCATGACACAGATTGATAAGGGACAAAAAGGGGAGGATTAGTTTCACTTTTAGCACCCCTCTTATTTGATAATCTTTTTGGTTCACCCTTGATTGAAAAGCAGAAAGGGAGAGTTTTTACGTTGTCATCAGACGAAGACGTAATAATTAATACTTTTACCGCACTAGTTTAATAATATAGATAACTATTTGTTTATTCTATTGTATGGGAGAAATTAAAAAAATGCTTATTTAGCGAGGCTAATTTATTATCCTTAAAACAAAGAGTGCCTTATTTGAATGAAAGAGACCGTTAAATAGTATGAGGACGGTGTAGGAACAACAGGAAATCTTAATTTGTTTGAAACAAGATAGATTCTTGGAGGTCAACTTTACTGTCAAAATGTGAAAGATTGTTGTTTTTTTTTTTCGTTTACTTTTCTATTGAAATAACAAACAACCCAGTATCAAAACTGTTCAAAATGTATAAGTACTTTGATCCTAGTACTATATTCTTGTTATGTCTATTTGAACTTTATACAGAATGTATCAAAAAAGTAATAATAGAGTTTCAAAGTAGGATTGTATTTGTTAATTGCACTAAAACAATTTTTTAGATACGCCCTGTATAAAAATGAAATTTTTCTTAGTGACGCTTGTGTATTTTCACTGGAGCTATTTATATTTTTTCCTGAAAACTGTTCCAATAATTCACTGCGTGGTTTTAAGAAAATTAACAAATTTTCGTATTTTGTATATTATAAAATCACCCTGTATATCGTAAACTAATTATTTTGGAAAAAATCCAAATAAGTTAGGTATGTGAAAATACATAAGGTTTTCTTGCAACTTCGAAAATTTCACACATACAAGATGTATCAAAAAATTTACAAGGTGTCTTTTTAAAAGGAAACGAGTTTTTGTATTGTCTTATAAAGTCACCCCCTATACATCGCAAACTGGTTTTTTTAGGAAAAGTCCAAATGAGTTATATCAAAATATATAAACACATCTTTCAACTGTGAAATTTTCAAACTTATATAAGATGTGATGTCATTGTACATACAGGATGTATCAAAAAAATTACAGTGTGTGCTTAAGAATACAGTTTTGTATATTTTCGTATGGTTCTCTATTCGTAGGTCGATCGGAGTGTACGCCACTGATATTTTCCTGTTTCTGACTACTCCCTCAACCTTTCCATGCTAGTATGAATTCAATCCTATGTACAGTTTTTGAATAATCATACAGTTTCCTATGTACAGTTTCTGAATAAAAGATCACACGACAGAAGTGTGAAAAATTCAAAAATCATAACGAATAAACACGTAAGGTAAATAAACAAACAACATAAATGCTTGACCTTTGCCGCCAAATTGAATCCTGGCATTTGTGGTATAGATCCAAGATTGTTTGAGCGAGGCAGGTTACTTGATAACGTTATGACGTCATCTAGGATGCCTTAACATAATGCAAAACACCATAAGGCATCCCAGATGCGTCATCAAGTTACCCATTACCAGACAATCTATTAACTTTAGGAACCTTGGTTTGGATCCAACTTTAGGAACCTTGGTTTGGATCAAGATTGTTTAAAAGCAAGGATATTACACACTACACATGATAGTCATCCTCATAGGGTCTGTGTATATCAAATCTCAAGATCCCCAACATGCCAAAGCACCAATGATAACGTAGCAGCGTGCCGTTTCTAGCTTTGATGTAAGGTGTTTGCATGACAGGTTATGATGCCGCGGGCTTTTGCTTTATGCATACTTGGTTTTACTACATTAAATAACATTCTAAAATAACTCTTTTTTTAGATTTCGTTTACATCTTCCTTTTTGCCTATTTATATTAATCAAAATTAAATGATATTTTTCATCATAAATTTAAATTCTAAACTACGACCGTTGAGGCAATCAGCTGACGACGTAGTTGATGACGTCGTCAATGGTGCTACACAATATGGCCGCGATTCCCGAAAACGAGGCCAATAAGCAATCCTGTGTAATGGTGTGTATATTATCCTTGGGTTAAATAAGCAAATATCACAAATTATGCTTAACCCAATGAACTATAGCCAAAAACTGGAATGCGCACGCATTGCCAAAAAAATGAAGCCATGAAAGACAGATGCCACAAAGGGGAATGTTGTTTTTTTCTGTTGCTGGCTGACATATGACGTTTTGGAAAGTTTTGTCATATTTACCTTCACAGGTTTCATCAATTGGAATACGTGTTGGAAGCAATTTCCGCCATTTAACATAATGAGTGCGACAAAAACAGGTATCCCCTCCGCAGCAGCGGCACTAGGCTTCACGTTCGTCAATATGTGTGCGCATTCCAGTTTTTGGTTATAGTTCATTGGCTTAACCATTGCCGCCATATTGAATCCTGGCATTTGTGGTTTGGATCAAGGTTGTTTAAAAGCAAGGTTCCTACAGTTAATAGGGTGCCTACTGCTTGGTAATGGATAATTTGATGACGCATCTGGGGTGCCTATGGAGATCTACATTACGTTGAGGCATCCCAGATCACGTCATAAAGTTATCAGCAATCTCAAACAACCTTTGGTTTAAAAGAGGTGATTAAATGATGATTTAATCTGTTTACCATTTAGGCCCAAATTATGGACCAACTGGTAAGTGTCTGGTTGTTACCTAGCAGGTACTTTCTATTTTCTAGTGCATAGAAAGTACCTGCTAGGCAACAACCAGACATTTACCGGTCAGTCCATAATTTGGCCCTTACAACACCAAGGTTCCTAAAGTTAATAAATTATCTGGTAATGGTAAACAGATGACGTCATCAGGAAGATCTAATAATGGAGATTTACATAATGTCATGGAACTATATACTACACACGTAACTGGAACGGACCTGACCTAACAGCTACTTTCAATGTCCATTTTCGAGGCAAATTTTATGGTAGTAAGAACGACAATAAAAGGGGTTTGTTTGCTCTGTCGCGCACGTACATGTTTACGAGCAATGGTGGAGTATAATAAATCCACCTAGCCTTATCTAACAATGCGTAAAACAAAGACGGCCATCCCTTTAACTCTATTAAAAATTTGCCTCAGGCGTGATGAATGCTGGTGCCATTCCATTTCACTGTATTATGTTTAGGAACCCCAAACGATGTCATTGAAGTTATCAAGCAACCAACTTCTTTCAAACAACCTTGTAACACATAAACGTTTCTTGCAACTTTATAAAGGATGTATCAAAAAAGTCATAAAGCTTCAAAGTATTTGTTTGCACTAAATCTTCAACAGAATTGACTCTACCCTATATTTTTTTTATACAATTACACCTTGCATAAAAATAGAATTTTTAGAAGTGACCTGTATAGTGCCACCTACTAATGAGCATTCCAACTAGAAAAACAGTTCTGTCATCTTTCAAAAGTCTTATTAAATGGTGTGGCCCTCTATTGGAGAGATACGTATTGGACTTTTGATAAACCAATAATAGGATGCGCTTAAATTTAATAAAATTAAAGAGGGTTTTAATTTTTTTTTCTTGAGTTCACGTTCACACCTTGTACAATATTAAATTGAATCTATAGTCTGTTTAATTAAAGTGTTCCAAGTCTGATAAAAGCCAAATTGATGCTCTCCCTGCGGGTGCAAGGTCGATTTTCATTAAATATTTAATTAAATGCACCCCTTTGAGCCTCCAATATCCTTATTGTTTGCTGTCTGGGAACGAAAATACTACCAATGTCAACTATATATTTTTCACTTATTGATTTGGATGATTTTGTGTTGTCCAAGGTCGATTAATGTGTCTGAATGAATTTATTATATAAAAAGTTGTTCTCTACGGCACTGTATTTTTATAGTTTGTAATTTTTTTTATAGGAAGTTGAGCTACAAAAAAAGGGGGAATGGTAAATTTTGTAATGTTTGCATTTATGGGGTTTTTCAAGCAAAACAACCCCATTTTCGAAACTTGAAACAATAAACTCTTGGCCTACTTTTCGCCGGTTTTATAGGATAGGGTCCTATTTCGACCACAAATTTAAGCTCAAATTACACTATATTGTATGGAAAATGAAGAATAATGACTCATTTTAAATTTTTATTATGATTACAAAACTAGTAAATCTGTACTTTTTACTGGCAAGTGATTTCTATTATTAGGATTCTTTGACACGCACTTTTGGGTTCTAGATTTTTATCGTTTCATCCGAGGTTTCACCCTAATTCACACCAACCCAAAAGACTATTGTACTGAATTCTGTACAATTAATATAAATCGTTGTGTAAAGAGCCTCCTGTTTTTTATATGCTGATTCCAGATTCAAACAACAAAAACACAAAATTGCCAAAAATTTCCCAAAACAAAACAACAGGAAGAATTAAGCGGGAGTAGGTATTTTATTTTAAGAATGAAATCATTAATAAACATCCAATCGAGCCAAAAAGTGATGTCACCGCCGTGTCCAGCCCATTTTATTTTAAACTGATGCGTGCCTGTTGAAGTAGGTCAAATTTTTTGATTAAAATGAGTAATTTACCAGTGGCGGAACTTATGATTCAAAAACTGTGTCTCAAAAAAATGTTCGAAGCTCGATTTCAATACGTAGAAATACAGGTCATCGGACCAAAGAACCAAAAGTCATCGCACAAACAAGAAACAGCGATGACGTCATTGAAAACCACTCTTCGTAACCCTTTCACTACTGGCTTGTATATAAAATGAACTCATGAATATAAATAGACGATGTTTATAATTTATTTGTAATTATTTTAATGTCGATAATGCTTTTTACATTGTATAATCAGATCGAATTTTATGAGCCATTTTTATGGAACAAACAGGAGAAATGTTAACGATCTCCATTATTGGTTTTTATGACAAGGCGCTGCTGTTTTAATGGACATTGAAGAAAATTGTTTGGCTGTATTTGACCTGTACTAGATTAAGTACAATGGTGTTTGTGAAAATAAAAGTAAGAAATTTAAAAGAGACGCATTATAAACAATTTTGTGTTTTGATATAACTCGCTCCACTGTATGAGATTAAAGAATAAAAATCAAGTTTACATTAAGTTGAGGAAATTGTGCCCGATCTGGCAGCACCGCATAGGTAACTCATACAAAAATTAGTCCTAAGTTGGATAATTTTCCTTAAATTCAAAGTCTCAGTAGTTTCAGTACAGATTTCTAGAAGAGAATTTTTTAGACAATTAATCAGTTGACTTATGTTGTGTTATGTCCGAGAACTTCCCTAATTTCAATCTGATTTTGATGGAATTAGGCACAAATTCAAGCCGATCAAATTGTCTTCAAATTCATTTTTCAGTTATTCAAGCTTCTCAATCAAGATTCGCGATCAGAGCTTTTTCTCACACTCATATTTTGTCTGATAACTTCTTCAATTTCAATCCGATTTTGATGAAATTTGGCTGAAATTCAAGCCAATTAAATTCTCTATAAATCCATTATTACTTAGTCATGATTTCAATACAGCTTCAAAATCGAAAAATTTAGTTTTGCGATCAGTACTTTTTTTCTAACACGAAATTGACTCCACAACCTTCTCAATTTCAATCCGATTTTAATGAAACTAGGCTCAAATTCAAGCCGATGAAATTATCTACAAATCCAATTATAGTAAGCCCATGATTTCAATACCAGCTCATAGAAAGCATCAATATCGAAAAATCAAGATTCGCGATCAGAACATTGTTTAACATGACATTGACTCACGTTTTACGTCTGACAACTTCCTGAATTTTAATCCGATTTGGATGAAACTGGGCTCAAATTCAAGCCGATAAACTTTCTCTACAAATCCATTAGTAAGTCATAATTTCAATACCAGCTCATGGAAAGCTTCAATATCGAAAAATCAAGATTTGCGATTGTTTAACATGACATTGACTCGCATTTTGTCTGATAACTTCCTCAATTTCAATCCGATCTTGATGAAATTAGGCTCAAATTTAAGCCAATCATATTCTCTATAAATCCATTACTTAGTTATGGTTTCAATATAGCTTCAAAATCGGAAAATCCAAATCCGCTACCAAAACTTTTTCGAACACATTAAATTTTCAATCCAATTTCGATGAAGTAAGGCCCGAATTCAAGCCGATTAAAACCTATACAAATTCAATACAACCTCAATATTTTCAATTAAAAAGTACCGTTTTAAGTTCCTGCATCAAAAATCGCATTAAAACTGTATAATTTGATGATAATCGGATCCGCATTGTGGGTCAGCCTTAAATTCGACTCATTCAAAACCGTTTCGGTCATAACACAATTTCTATTACATATTAAAATAAAAAAATTGAAATTGGACGTTTTTGATTGGTCGCAACCTTTTACATGGCCCACAGTTTTTGGTTTTAAATTGAAATAAAAGATGTTTGATTGGTTGCAGCAACCCTTACATGGGCCTACTATGTTTGTGTCAATTAATTTGAATTTTCAAATTTGTTTCAAGTTAATTACAAAACTCACCTTGAAATTACAAACTAGTAAAAACAATCCAATCAAAACAACAACAATTCTATAAATGCCCGATGAGGTGCGGAATCCTTATATTAAATTAATTACACTTTTATTTAATTTACACAAGAAAAACAATATTTTTTTTTGGTAAAAAATCTCTCGTAAATTGGATTTTTTTCGGCACTAGTTTCAGTTGCGTAATGACCAACTTTCCGCGACGGAACCGCGACATCAACTAGTTGTGTAAACGGTGAAATTTCGAACAGTAGGCTTTGGATTGACGGCGACGCGGTTGTTGCACTAATAGCTTGTGATTTTCTTTTTACTATCGAAATGTATTTAAAAAAAAACGAAAAAAAAAAAACAACCCTCAACATAGTTTTCTAAAAAAACATGCAGATGTACATGTATTATTATAATATATTCGACTTTTGTACTAAATTCGGTACATTGTGGTTGGTGTAGTGCAACAACCGGGCGGCCGATGGACTTGGAAGGTCCGAAAAAGACTTTTCACAAAGAAGAGGTCGGCCTTCGTTTTTCAATCTTCAGCGGGCCGACGACAAAAAACGTCAATTTTACCTGCCCATATGAGAACAAATCAGATCAGAAAACTGATTTTTACTTTACTTTACTAGGTATAGAAATTTGGTCATGCCATGTATACAGGGTGGGCCGATTATAGGAAACGTAAATTTCTGAGCTAGAGATTCTTTTAATGAAACACCCTATAATATGTAGGTATATGTTGATTATTCATTTGTAAATCTTATTTTGTTTATTATATAAGATAAATAAACGATTTAATTATTTATTTACTGAAATCATAAAATCGATTTTAACTATATGCCCGAAAATTACACAAACAACCATCTGTAAATTTAACTTGTTTACCAGAAGAGCGACAAAAATAATAAAATAGCCTTCTAACCATTTCAGACGATTACGTAATAAGAGGCGTTTTATACGAATTTTAAAGAGTTCTCAGTAAAATAAGACATTACGTCATATTGTTTTGTGGAATTTGAATTTAAAATTGATAAGACATACAAATAATTAATGGAAGTGACTTTCAAAGAAACATTTCAAAATCAATTTTCTATTGACCCTATAGCGTTATATACCGGTTTCTTCCAACCGAACTGGTCGTCATTATTTTAATGGAAATAAAATAAATCGCAAACTTGTTCTTGAAACTCCATAGAAATTCTTTAATGTTGCCATTTTTTCCACACCCTTTTGTCAGGGCGCTCCTTTGTTACACCCGTAGGTTGACACGCAAAAGGATAATTAATAAATCCTGGAAAAATTTAGGTCAAAAAGTAATTTATTGATTAAGAAAAATAATAATCCATCACATTTAAATCTCTAATTTTTGACGATCCTCTCCTCACTTCCAAGCTAGTACCACCAAATCCCTTATTAGAATTACACCGCTTGATGCCCTTTTGGTATTTTTTAGGGATTTTTCTATTTCTAACCGGAATTGTTTTCAAAGTTGTTGGAACAAACTCAGTGTTCGTGTACCACGATCTGGCCAATATACTTTTAGCTATTTGAATAGTGTCACCTGAAATTGTACAAAAAATTTAAATTTGTACTAAAATACAATGACATTTTAATACAGATAGACTTGGAGGAGATACAGCGGAGGTTAATCGCTTTGTTTTATGTCTATCTGTGTTAGGGCGGGTATTATAGAACTATTTTGACAGAATAATTTTTAAAGTTAACTTGTTGAATGGCGGTTCTTCCCATAGTAATTCCATAAGTTAATTTTTAGTTATCTGTCAATATAGTTTTATAATACTTGGCCTTAATATGTCATTGAATAATTAATTCATACCTCGAACTTCTGTAGGATAAATGTCTCTGGCAAACGTAAAAGGTTCCTCATACAAAAGAAAAATCAGCCCTTGCTCTAAGGGCTGATTAAAAGTAACATTGTAAACCAGACTGAAGTTTAATGCATATACAAATTCGTCCCACCTAGGATAAAGAAAATCCTTCACTACACCTAAAACACGAAAATTGTACTAAACTTAGTACACATTCGAACAAATTCTTACCTGACCATTGTTTGATGGCGTAATTCATAATTTCCCCCCAAGGGCCCCAAAGTGTAATCTGATTCCTTGCATTGTACTCGAATAGTTTTTCTTCCTAAAAATAACCCAAATGCAATCATAAAATTTAGTACAACTTTAGTACAACCTTAGTGTTGTTTGCACAACTTTTGGCAGCTTCAAGCCATTTGCCCAATAAAAACGCCTCATTTGTTGCTAAAATTGATTCTAAATCCAAAAATATTCCTCTAAAAATTGTTGCCAATTTTCTAAAATAAATACGATTGTACTGCAACAATAATTGTACTAAATTCACTTACTGAAACTCAATCAGATCTTTATTTCTAAACGTCTTTACCAACTTTTCATAGTAAATGTCGCCATTGTCTTGCAAAACTTGCCTGGTCAAATCAACTAAATCATGCAAATAGCCTGGACTATTTTTAAGATTATCTGAGGCAAGTATAAGACTGTTCCATGCATTGAAAACCTCAGTGTAATTGTACCAAGTCTAGAAATAAATTACATTAAATTTATATCCATATTTGTACCAAAATTTATTTTTACCCAAGGTACAATATTAAGGCTGGGCGTTTTAGTTACCACAAATTGCCCTCTGAGACGTTCAATACCGTTAAAATTGTACAAAGTATCCTACAAGTATAAGGATTAGCCCAAAGAATTAAATTGTCCTAAATTTAGTACAAACTTTTAAAACTTGCCAAGCAAATTCAGCATGCTCATCTTTCCTACCGTAGCGCCTTCTGGAATAATTTCTGAACCAATCGGAAAGGTCGACAGACTCTTTACGCCACGCCTGCTCAGTCATCAAGTCATAAATTACGTAATTTTGATTTATTCCCTCCATAGTCAAACCTGTACCAATCATTGTTGAGTTTTCGGCTGCCCTTGCCTCAATAACATCCTAAATACTAAATTTAGTACAATAAATGTATTGTTCGTACAATACTTGCAGTGTTTATAACTCCAGCCGAACCGTACATGGCCAATGTGCCTCCGAAATTGTGCAACATGCACCAAATATAAGGCTGCCCGAAATATTGATTGAGTCTTGTGAATTGTGGAAATTCTTCGGATTGAAGGTCTAGTACAATCATTTTACCCTAAAACAAATTGTGCTAAATTTAGTACAAATTGCAACCGATTAATTACCGTTGGTACACTGGTCAGAAAACTCTGAGCGCGATTCAAATCATTCCAAAAGGCATCACTATAAAACATCCATCCTTGTAACACCCTGTACAATTAAACAAATTAAAATACTCACTTTGGGTATTGAGGTTAGCAGGGCTTCGGCTCTGGACGGCGTCCAAAAAAAAAACGAGTGGACGAAAAGCCAACCCTGCATCACCCTAAATTTAGTACAAATGTTGCTGAATTTGTACAATTATTCTTTTGCTTACCAAATGGCTTTAGGATCCGCTGACGTCATGGCTTTATAAATACCTTTGCCGACATTTGACAGGTACGTCAAATCGGTATTTCCCGGATCCATTTCGTTGAAACTGTCGCAATTGTACGCGTGATCAGTACCGAATTCGGATATTTGCTATAAGTAATGATTAGTAAAAACAATTAATGTACTGAATTCAGTACAATAATTACCTCTTCAATAAACAATTTGCCAACAGTTTGGAATAATTCCTCGGTGGGGTCGATAAAATAAGGGCAACAATATTTGTCCGGAAATTGGTTCCAAATCGACATTTTTGTCATGTTGGTGTCCGGATAGAGTCTAAAAATGACAGTTTACAGATCAAAAGTCAACAAAAAAAATCCCATTTGCCTTTTAAAAGCCCTTGGCACATGACCGGCAAACGCAGGTAAAATGGTGACGATTCCGAATTGGCGTATGCGCTCGACGATTTTGTGCTGCAAATGGAGCGACCTCTGGTGCCAGGATTGCGACAACGGACCACCCCAACCACGTAAATTACCCATCCTTAACCTATGATTTGAAAGCTTAATTTAAACCCATTTTTTAATTTGCAATGAAAAAACCTAAGCTTGGAACGTAGCTACTATAAGTGTCCTTGTCTAGCACACACAATAATTACAACCAATACGTTCCAAAACACGTACCAGCTCAAAAACGCAGGTCCAGACAAGTGTTCGTCAATATCATCCTGGCTGAGCCCCAATTTCTCGTAGACACGTTGCCAGATCGCTTCTTGACCGTTGAAAGCCAAAACAAAATTAAACGAATTCATGGCAATCCAATCGATATGCTTTTCCCATTGTTGCCAGTTCCACCAGACGAAACTGTAACTTGTGGTGCACACGTTTTGATAGTACCTGAACCTGTTAAAATTTCCTTGTTTTATGACAGCTGTCACAGTTTATTTGAATCGCTTACCTGTCATTTAATGTGATAACAATGTCAACTGCGGGTAGGATTTGAGGCAGAGCCAACTGCGATACTTCCCAAGAAATGTGGGCGTGGCAGTGGTACTTTAAATAGTAATTGAATGCGCTTGCCGCTGTCACTCCTGTTGTTGCCGTTATTTGAATTTTATCGTTTAATTTTTTGATCTAGAAATGACTTATGAATGACAGTAGTGAGATTTAGATGACGTTTGTTACCTGGAAAGCTTCACGATCGTCTACAGTGAAAGTAGAATTGATTGTAATTGAAAATTCACTGGATCTGTTTGGTAGAATTCTAGAGATCAGATCTTGTACCGCCCTCTGTTGTACGTTGGCGAAAGTTTGCGTTTTGATATGGCCCAAAGTGTCTGAGAATTCTGGTGAAAAAAGAGTATTGAAACCATGGCCTACTTAACTGACTGGCACAGAAAAAAAGATTGAAATTTAACTGAAACCATGGCCTACTCAACTAAATTTCTCAATAGCTAACCACCTCCGGCTGGGTTTTAACTCTAGGGTTAACGTATTAAATTGCAATGTTTACCCTGGAATAAGCTTAACCCGGAGGTGACCTGCTATTGAGAAACCGACCCTAAGTGGTATTCAAGTGTTTTAGCACTATTTTAGTGCTAATTTTGGGTACAAAAATTGTACTTACTGTATCCATTGTAGCAACGATCCAGCGGTACTAAAATTAACACTAAAATCATCAAATAGTGGCCCATCTTGGTACCATCCAAATCAAAATCTCACTGAAATGAATGTTAAATTGGTTAGCCACAATGATAAGTGCGCGAGCTCTTATCCATAAACACAAATCATTCATTAAGTAGTCAGTTTATTTGTTCATTAATCGAATTAAATCTGAAAAACCAGTGGCGTTCACTAGTAAATAAATAAAAAATTTATTAAAATAAATTAACAATAAAATTATTTTTTTCTATAATACATTTTTAGTACATTTGGCAACAACGTAACCCTAATGGGTTTCACTTCGTAATCCTCATTGTCAATGGAAAACCAAATTTCCTTGTCTGGTAAATTTTCCGGATTGATTTCGATTGTCCTTGCCTCAATTGATTCACTAACCTGCAAAACAACCAATCAAATTTGAGCAATACTTAACCAATGAAATTACCTCGCGCTTCTCGCCGTGCTCAAACCTCCAGCCCTGCTTTACAAAATTGACATAGTCCACATTACCTGGACCAATGGAAAGATTCATATGCGGCAATCGGCTGTCTTGGATGCTACTTGGAATGACGTTTGATGTGAACAATGTCAAATCTGACGTGGAGATTTTTTTTTCCAGCTGTTGGCTGCACTCAGGGTTATCTATCAATGATGGTTGCGTCTGTTGGTCTTTGATGAAACGCTGAAACCACTTTGACTGTTGAATATGGGGTTGTTTTTTGTGACAGTTGGTGCACCCTGTACAAGGTGGACTATACAAGAGCTGAGCTTCGCAATTCCAAGACAAGCTAGATTTGAGTCTAGAAGGAAAATCGTACTAAGTACCAAAAAAAATTATTGCACTAGAATTTATCTTACCCATTAAAAATATAGGTGGCGTACTTTTTAAGCCCACCAAAATACCAGTAGCTGTCTTTTTTGACTTCCGCGTCTCGGTAGGCGCCCCACTTGATCCCGCTGACTGCGTAAACAGCCCTTTTCTCTTCGCCGTCGTTTAATATTTCGATCCTCATCACGTCCATTTGTTTTGTGAATTCCTCGATCACCGCCATAGTAGCTTCGGCCAATGACGTCACTTTTTCTAAACCTGGAAACAGGCTGCGACCAATCGAATTGTTTTTGCCCAACGGCAGAATCCCGACAGGGATTGGGGCGTTTTCATTTGTCCGTCGCATTAAACCCGTAACAACCTTGAACAATAGAAATAGAGTTATTTATGTTCGTTTTATTCAATATGGCGCCGAAAAGTTAATTATGCCCACAGCGCCATCTTGAATAAACAGAATTTTAACCTGAAAAAAAAAGACATTGACAGTGACGTACCTCGGACAAAGTTCCGTCGCCGCCGGCTACTACGACAGCCTCGGCCCCATTTAAAGTCTCCATCAGTCGTTTCGCGTGGCCTTCCGACTCGGTACGGACGACTTCGACGTTGATTCCCGCTAGATGGAGTAGGGGGGCGCAGTAGCTATCGAAGTCCGCCTGCGCAGTTCGCTTATTAGCGCTCGGGTTCAAGATAACGGTCACTTTTCGTGGGTCGGTGGTCACTGGGATCGTTTGGTGACCGTGACGCGCCGCTTCTGCGCAGTACGCCGTCATTAACGCCTGCGTACTGAAATTGAGATAATTACATTCCAATCCAGTGTTTAATGGCTGTTTACATTTTTGAAACCGTTACATGTAAAAATGTCACTAAGCGTTAATTATCGTTGAACCTCTCTTAAAATGGTCCGTGCAAACGACCCCGCCCAAAAGATGACGTCATAAATGGTTATTTGAGAAAATCAACAAAATCTAGATGGCACCACCACAGTGTTGCCAGATGATATTAAAAAAATTCGTAAGAATCGAAAAAAAAAAATCGTGAGACTTAAAACTGCTAAAATATTGTAAGAAAATACTGCACAACAATGTTGTTTTATAGATTTTTGATAAAGTAAACATGATTTTACATCCATAAGAAATAGAAATTTTATTATTAAATCTTGTATCCTTGTTTTTTCCCTATTCTAGGAGGTGTTTCTGAGAGCTGAACCTCCTTTTCATTATCCGCAGGATTCCTCATATTATGCTCATCCTAATAAGGCGTACGTTCGCCAATTCTCGACTCGGTAGCCGGTCTGCGACTGACGTCACCATTATCAGCAGCTGATAGTGGTAATGTCACCCGCAAACCTCGATTGATTGCTTGCTTGTGAGTTAGTTTTTTTTGGGAATTTTAAATTTAGAAAAGGTGATTTCAACGTTTATTGATTCGTTTTTTGGACTCGCATAATGTATTTTCTGCCAAGAGTTGAGGTCTGCAGCTAACGTCACAAATAGTGGGGAAGACTTGGCAGACACTTTCAGCTCAATAAGTAGTTCTATATTACCACAGCATATACAAAAACAAGCAGCAGGTTAACTCTCACGCGCATCTCTTACAGCCTATCTTTAAATGGCAGAACAATGAGATTTAACGCGCATCTCATCTGCGCACGCCGCCATTTTGGGATACAAAGCTTGAGTCAGAGTCAGCTTGCTGATTGTTTTTGTATATGCCGCGTGCTATAGGTAAAGTGCTCTTAAGCACGCATGTATTACCAGGAGCGGCGTAACATAACTAAATATTGTATAATAAATTTTTATTCCCGATAACATTATATTTGATTAGTGATTTGTATTACTACAGAGAGAATTCGTAAGAATTGCTACCTCATTCGTGAGATCGTGAAATTATGACCAAAATCGTGTAATCTTACGAATATTCGTGAGATCTGGCAACACTGCCACTGAAAGATCCTATTCTGCTGGGTCGTGTCTAATGTAACTCTGTCAAAATTAGATTTTTATATGCCTCTAATGAGATCTGGTAAGCGGTAATTTGATGACGTCATCTGAGGTGTCTTATAGAGATTTGCATTATGTTGAGGAACTCCAAATGACTTCAAAAATGTTATCAGGTTGCCAAAGGTTGCTTGATCGACCTCTGAACCTTTGCAGGCAACTTATCTCTCTCAAACAACATTGGTTTGAATCACGGTTGTTTAAAAAAGGTAGGTTGCATGATAACTTTTATGACGTCATCTATATGCCTAAACATAATGCAAATCTTCACAAGAACCACCTGATGCAAGCAATTGATATTTTGCCAATGATATTGGCAACGTTGCCGTAATTTGTTTTAGGGGGAGTCCCGATTGAACTCCAGTCGCGCTATCCCTCTCTCTTGCACTGCTGACTGTTTTCCTCTCATTTCAAACAAAATAGTAGGATTTTTGACAGCTGTATTTTGGAGCAGATACAAATGAAAACCCCTAAAAAGATTTTGCTGTGAAGAGGTTGACAAAAATCTACAATACTAAAATACTAATGTCACAAAAAAGTAGTACAGTAGAGTAGTACAGTGACTGTAGAGTAGTACAGTGACTCTAGAGTAGGTAACGACTTCGCCCTCTATTGGCCCCTAGATAAATACATACTTTATGGTTAGATTAATCAAAAATGGTGAAAAGGGACTTAAAAATGGCCAAAATACTCACTCAAAGTAGTTTTTCGTGTAATTTCCGCCCCATGTCAGCACGACAGCGAAGAACGTGGACTTTTTCCAATTATTTCTCAGAGTTTTAACGGTTTTAATTATAAATGCCATCGTTTTTCGAACTAGAAACTTTAAAAAAGCATTTTTCAAAAATATTGAAAACAAATCAAATAACCTAACCTCAAACAACTTCTAATAAACATTGACGCTAGTAGATGGCGCCACAGAATTTGTGAAACTTTACCGATTTGAAATCTGACTCAGTTTGACAACGACATCATAGATGGCGCAAGGAAACAAATTCTGGCGCACTTTTTCAAATTTTTAAATTAAAATATACTTTTTTCATATCAGTGATAAATAAGCATTTGAAAAAATGATAATTTTAGTTGGTTACATGCCGCAACTATAAATACATTGTTTTTGTACAAATAATTGGTTACCAGGGCTAATAAAAAAGTAAGTTTTGTCGATATTCGCTCAGCAACTGTTGAAAATGGACGAACTAAAAGACCGTAGCATTCATCACACAACTATAAAAATATGCGACGATTTGCGAAATTCAAATCAATACCAAAATTTATACGAGGACATACAGGTGAGACTTTTTTTTGTAACCTGAAACTTGTATTTTTTCAAATTGTCAAATTTAGAAATTAGTTTCCACTTCCTCGGTTCGCTTGGACGATTTCAAAAGCACCCTCTTGCGAGCAATGCAAGAAACAGGTTTAGAAGCTGACCTGAGAAATAAAATATACCGATGGGTCAAGACCAAGAAAAAAGAGTCAAACCCTTACGATGCGTTTTTTAGGTAAATATAATAGAAATTAAAAGACAATATTTATGTATAGGTGTGTATATTAGAAAGGCCCAAATCCATTGGGACAAAAGAATCCACAAGTCCCTAAACTCGATGAGCAGCGAATTGGGCATCAGCCTCGCCAAGTCGAGAGGCAACAGCGAAAAAGAAGAACTGTTGAGCAAATGGAACGAACTGAGCAATTTTGAGGTTAGAACCCTGTAATTCCCAATTTGAAAAATATTTCTTCCAATTATTTCAGACAGACATTCACAAATACAGGCCTGTATACGCACCCAAAGACTTTTTGGAGGTCCTGTTGGCGCTCAAAGGACCCTCGAAGGAACGCGACTGTCACAAGTGGGAGTTTGCGCAGTTGCCTTTAAAAGTCAAAAACTTATCAGAACTGGTATACAGTTGACAGTAGATTAAACGTCATTTGTCATTATAATTTTTAGCGCAACGTCTACGTGGAAATTTCCAGAGGCGATCAGATTTTGAACAGCAACAGTTTGTCGAATAATAATCAGAATTTCGCTATTTTCGAGGCCGAGCGGGTGGCTTTGGGCGAGAAAATTCTGGCTAAAAATTACGCGCCGTTGGCGCAAGAGTACTTGAAAAGGGGTTGTCCTAAGGGTCTGAGGGCGAGATTGTGGACTTTGTTATTGGGAGCCGAAGTCAAATCTCCGGTAATAGTTTCTAATGTATTGAAATGTAATATACCATGTGTCCCAATGATTATTAGCGAGGTACCTACGCCGATCTTAGTGGGACACCCTGTATGTAAAGGGTTGTTCCGTATATTACAACTGCATAAAGCTCGCTTAAGTGCGGAACATACCTATCATGCATCCTTTCGATCCGAATCCAATCGGACGAGTATCTAGAGAGTAGAGAGAGATAGAAAACATAGTTCACACTTTTCCGACACGTGTTCATTCCTACTCCCACCCGACACCGATCTTGCAATCTATTGCGAGCTCCATGGTACATGCTGTCAAAATATACGGAATAACTCTGTATCTCTCTAATAGAGGGCGACACAATTGATACTGAATTTTCTGAAATATTCTTTCTAATGAATATTCTAATTTCTCATAGCAAATCAATTACTTTGAGACACTAAAACACAATGTTCTGCATTACGATCTCATGATTGACAAGCTGATAATCAAGGATATCAATTTGACTGCTTCGAATGACGATCAGTATTTTGTTTTCGAAGATGTTCTATATCAGGTAATTGTATTTTCATAATGTATACGCTGGTCCGATCTACCTGACCACAAGCTGTTTGTTAGTGTTACCCATCTTTCTTTAATGAACATTATTGAAAAAAGACAAATTATTATACATCAGCTGGTGATCGGGTTAATCCGGGATAAAGGCCTAATCTGTAAGTACATGTGTCAAATAGAAATAAGTTGTAAAAGTTGAATTTGTATCTTAAATCTTGAATAATTGTCTCATCAAGTGTCACCTTTTTTCCCAGGTAATGTTATGTTTTTCAAGAGACTCAGAGATTTTAAAACAATTACCGAATCAACCCGCCTTTATGCAAGTAGTCCTCAAAGGCAGACCTAATACCACGGAAAATACCCTGGTTTTCCCGCCAAGTGGCGTAATACCTTTCCATGGCTTCACCATGTACGGTAAAGTAATTCCAAACTAAAAAACGCCATCTATTATCTAATTACTAATTTCTTTTAGCCGCTCCATTTTGCTACCTCTTCAACAACTCGACCGAGCTCTATTTCGTATTCAGAGCTTTTTACTTGAGGTACTGGCACCGACTGCACAGAGTCTGCGCCAGCTCTCAAGGCATCGTCGCCCTCTGTCTTCAATTCGAGAAGCTCTTGCAGTGCTATGAGCCGAGCTTGTGGAACCACTTTAAAAAATGCCGAATACATCCGTAAGAATTTTGTTTTGTTCATATTAGGTCTGTTCTCAGAGGTTGCAAACTCTTGTGTGAACAAACCTATTGTGAAATTCATTTTTATTTTTTTTATAGTCTTAGGGTGGTCATTAAATGGATCATGCGTGCCTTTAGCGGCCATCTGCCGCCCGAGCAGCTGCTCGCCTTGTGGGACTCGATTCTCGCCTACGATTCGCTGGAAATCGTGCCCCTATTGGCCGTTGTGATTGTGGTTTTTCGTAAGGACAACCTGATGAAAGTCAACACGCTGGCTAACATCGAAGCGGTCTTGGCCGATCTAAGTTCCATCGCTGTCGTGCCTCTACTACAGATGGCGTTGATGAAAGATGGTACCGCTTAGTAGTTGAAGATGATGTTTGGCCACGATTTTATTAAAGATTTTCTACTGAAAAGTGTTTTTTTTTTTTGTTTGTTTGGCAAGAGTGCCTGATCTTCGTGATACCTGTCAACGTGTTTAGTCTCTATTAGGCTTTTGCAAAATAATATTATAGGTGGAATTGTGTAACGGATAGAGATCGGTATCGATATCGCTATGACGTTGTCTTCTTCTCTCTTTTTGAAATCGATGGGGACGTCGTCAATATAGATATACAGGGTGTCCCACCGGGAACCAAATCAATCTATACAGGTTGTTAATTTTAAAACTTACCACCCCTATATCTCAGAGTTGATAATATTCGGAAAAATTCTTGAAACATGTCAACTACCTACTATAATTTGAAGGAGGATGAGTTTTTATGCAAAATTGACCCCCCTTCTTTCAAACCCCCATCGCCCAGAGCCACCTCTTAAAAAAATTTAAATGGGAAGAGGGGTCAAAGTGATGCATCATTTTGGAGAGTTTTTAATTCCACACATTTTAGTTCTAAATTTTAATCCCTAAGTTCAACTGATTTGGAAATATTGTCAGTTTCCTCTAAAATCAACCTTCTAGATTTTACAGCCTGTCAAACTAGCAAAAAAGTCAATTTTCATTTATCATTTCCAAAACAGTTGAACTTAGGGATAAAAGTTTAGTACCAAAATGTATGGAATTGACCTTTTGTTTGGACGCCATATTGCGGTGCGCGAACATAGTTGCCAACAGTAGAAAAAAAAATTACTAGCGTTTTGTCAACTTTAAAATCCAAAGTTAGTGAATAAATTACATTTAAAATTTAAATTTGCCGCCTATTACGAATGTTATTGGAAAGAAAAGCCATCAATTTTAGGTTGTATTGGGCAGAATAGAGATAAGGGTGGATTTTCATGCATCCGTTTGTCCGACGAAAGATGTCCGTTTAACATTCTATTCTGACATAATCGTATAAAAATATGTCAAAATAGAAGATTTTTCGGACATATTTCGTCGGACAAACGGATGCTGAAAATCCACCCTAATAAAATATCCAGTTGACAGCCCGCTGGTAATTTTTTCGTTTTCTTGTTTTGGCAACTATGTTCGCGCACCGCAATATGGCGTCGAAAGAAAAGGTCAATTGAGACCCTCCAAAATGATGTATCACTTGACCCCCATTCTCATTTAAAATTTTCTAGGGGGTGGCTCTGATGGCTGGAGGGTTGAAACGGGGGAGGAGAATTTTGCATAAAAACTCATTTCCCCCCTCAAATTATAATTGACGTGTTTCAGGAATTGTTTCGAAAATTTTTCAATTCCGAGATAATAGGGATGGTAAGTTTTAAAATGAACACCCTGTATATGAAAAACTGTATGCAGAAATTTTTTGAAAATTTGACAGCATACAAATGTCAATGGGGGCAAGCCGCTTAAAATATTTTCAAGTTGGTGGTTTTTGCGGTTATACCGGAAGTAAACGTCAACTTGCTTATTTTAAATGAGACACCCTATATGTGATTGCATATTTGGATTCTGCGTAAAATTCTTAGCAGATTTTATGTGATTTACCCCATACCTTAGTTCCACTATTTTGAAAATATTGACAGTTGAAAATTGACTTTTTCCAACTTTCAAGAGCTGTAAAACCTGATCGGTTAATGTTGGAGGAAAACCGAATGTAAAATCGGTTTTCTTTTAAAATTAACTGTATGCAAAACGGTCAATTTTCAATTGTCAATATTTCCAAAACAGTTCATCTAGGTATATAGGGCATATCACATAAAATCTGCTTAGAATTTCATGTAGAATCCAAATATGTAGGTATGCAATCACATACAGAGGGTGTCTCATTTGAAATAAGCAAGTTGACGTCTACTTCCGGTATAACCGGAAGTGCTACCATCTTGAAAATATTTTAGCCAGGTTGCTCCTATAGACATTAGTATACTGTCAAATTTAAAAAAAAATTTTTTTTGATAATTGACGTTTGAAGCATCTATTTGTCAACTGTCAAAAAAATTGCATAAAAACAATCTAATTATTTCAAAAAATTATTCAAACTCAGATTTGGACGAGCCGCCACTGGAGCTGCATGACATTCGAATGTCAATTGTCAAAATTGTTGTCACAGGTTGAAAATAATTTTTATTCACATTTTTCGCACAAATTACATGTGCTACCACCTGGTGAGCGATAAAACACTAGTTTTCATTAATCCAAAACAATAATGTGACGTCGACAATTTTTGGAAGCATAAATATGACAACATTGTAACTGAAAAAAAAAATTTAATTGTAGGTATTTTTAGTTTTATTTGGCAACACTGTCAAATATTAATCTAGAAATGAAAAAATCATAAAAAAAATAATACACAATCTAAATGCAACGTTGTCATTTTATTTTTAATTTCGTTGCCAAGTAATCATAAAACTACTATTAACAACAAGTCGCAATAAAATTCGCCGTTTTCAAGCAACGTTGCCGCCGTTTTACAAACGTTGCCATATACTCGTGCCCCACAATAATAAAACTATTAAATTCTCGATTGCATCGTCCTCCGGGTTTCTACCGTGCCCTTGATCCAACCTCTACGTCGCCGACACGCAGTAAACGAATCGTTGACCTTCGGACGAGTTCGTTTTTGGTAGAGGCCTTCGCCTAGCAACAAGGCGGCAAGCGGCGTCGGCTTGGGGTACGGTCGCGGAACGTATGTCGTGATTTAACATTTGCGCACGGCAAGGCTCCTCTGCTAAGAGTTCTTGGGTGTGGCAAATTTAGGAAATTAAATTTGACAATTTTGACAGTTAGGATTTGAAAAAGAAACAATTCGAACATTATTGAGATTTTAACATTTTTTTCGATCTACGCAATAGAAGCGACGTATTTCATTGGCTTGAAACTGCTGTTTTTAATTTTTTTGTGGGTAATTTTATGTTTATTCCAGGCTCTTATTGAAGTTTCATGTTTTTCATTTTTAAGGCCCGTCTTATTTAATTTCAAATAAACTTGCTGGTAACTATCTGCAAGATAAGCTCACTGTTCTATAATTCTATTGGACGGCCAAATAAGCTGATTAATGAGATTGCATACCTGAGAGTTTATCAGAAGGTGGATAAACCGGCCCTTAATTTAAAAAAAAATAACAATTTCAAAACAGATTCAACAGTTTCGCTGATTAGAAAACAGAAAATGCCATTGTTTTTTTTAGATTCCACTGTTTTTATTTTTATTATTGGGAATTATGAGAAAAAAATAAAGAAAACTCAAGAGCCTGGAATAGACAAGAAAATTCCAAAAAAATTGATTTCTTTTTATTGACTTATGGTCGTAAATAAAATGTTATACATTACACACTTGTGCTGAAAAAAAAGGATTAGAATACATGAAAATTTTGACAGTTATTCCATTTATAAAAAACTGTCAAAAATTTTCAAAAACTGTCAAATGAATAGCTAGATTTTTTGACAACCAATTTGAATTTTTGACAGAAGTGGGTGCGTTTTGTAATTATTAGAGTGATATCTATCGATTACATAGCCTTCTTTGTTTTATAGAAATTTAATGCTTGCATAATATTACAACACTGTTTTAAATACTTATTCGACAATTTCGTGTAATAATAATAAATTATTATTTTCCTTAATGCAAACAACAAACAAATATTACAAAAATCTGTCAAATTCTTTTTTGACATTTCCAGTAGCGCCCTCTGACAGTTGCACCGAAAACCAGAGGAAGCTGCAATTTATTCACAGACGTACGTCACTTGTTTCTGTATCGTTTTAAACGAAGAGGGAAAACAGCGGCAAAAGACGAGCGAGGACTCGATTTTCTTTCCTACACGGCCCAGCCGCCATTTTTTCTCTGTTCGTTTTCGGTTCATCCGCCTTTAGCTGTAATCGTGTCTTGTGTGGGCCCAGCCATATTTTTTAAAATATAAAATTAATTGGTAACTTATTAATCGAACAACGATTGGAGTAGTTAGTGAGTGATGATGAAAAGGGCCTAAATTTTGAAATAGTTTCGATTATATTGTGGGATTTTTTCTTTTTTTTTTGGTTCAAAAATATGACGGTAAACAATAAATTCATATTTTAGAAAATTCTAACCTCAAAGTTTCTGATGGAGCAAGTTTCAGGTAAAATTAATAATATTTTGTGTTTTGTTTGTTTATTTATTTATTTATTTATTTATTTATTAGAAAAACTAAATTATTTCGCCAGCTCGGAGGCCGGAAAATCTTTGGTCGACGACGATGACCGTCCTGTTTCAGATGGTAAGTTTTCTAGTACGATTTCAATGGTCAGAAAGGCCATAAAACAAATTTTATTTCTCCCATTACAATCCTGCCATGTTGATGTTTATTAGAAGTGTCACTTTTTACTAAATACTGGTTTACAATAATAATCCTGTTCCTGAAGTTAAACTGTGTATTTTGATCCCTGGCAAAAATGGAATTTTTAATCCCAAAATAGTTTTAGGTTAATTATTTGTTTCCTTCTATCCTGTCATTAGACTTGTTGTCAAATCAATAAATTTAAGGCCCATTTACATTGTTAACTATTGAATATTGAAGATTTATTAAACCTAGGGCCAGTTTCTCAAATAGCAAGTGGGTTAAGTATAATTCCAGGGTAAACATAGCAACTGGACACGTTTACCCTGGAGCTGAAACCAACTGCACTTTTTCCTAAATACTGGTTTACAATAATAAACCTGATCCTGAAGTTAAACTGTGTATTTTGATCCCTTGCAAAAGTGGAATTTTTAATCCCAAAATATTAAATTGAAGTTTTTTGAACTCAAGAAAACAAAATGTTGATCCTGTGGTTAGGTTAACCATTTGTTTCCTTCTATCCTGTCATTAGACTTGACAATTCCATAAATTTAAGGCCCATTTACATTGTTAACTATTGAATACCTATTATTGTAGGTTTATTAAACCTAAAGTTTTTTTTTTTTAAAGATAAAAGTCAAAATGACATTATGTTGGCAATACAATGTAAAATTGTCAATGCTTTCAATTTTTTTATGTAGAAACGACTTGTGTTGCCAACATAGTTACTAAATTTTTGACTTGGGGAATTATCTTTAAAAAAGAAAAACAGACTTTAGGGCTGGTTTCTCAATAGCAAGTCACCCCAGGGTTAAGCATAATTCCAGGGTGAATATTGCAACTGGACACATTTACCCTACGTCACTTTTTCCTAAATACTGGTTCACAATAATAATCCTGATTCTCAAGTTAAACTGTGTATTTTGATCCCTGGCAAAAATGGAATTTTTAATCCTAAAATATTAAATTGAAGTTTTTCGGACTGAAAAAAACAAAATGTTCATCCTGTGGTTAGGTTAACCACTTGTTTCCTTCTATCCTGTCATTAGACTTGTCAAATCAATAAATTTAAAGTCCATTTACCTACATTGTTGACAATTGAATATTAAAGATTTATTAAACTTAGGGCCAGTTTTTCAATAGCAAGTCACCCTTGGGTTAAGCATAATTCCAGGGTAAACATTGCAACTGGACATGTTTATTTATTTATTTTATTTATTTATTTTATTTATTTATTTACGGGTAACCCCCATTAATAGTTATAATATACAACAAAAATGGTTATGACTCTAGATTGTTATGAATTAAATCTAAAAATATGTATCACTTCAGAGTTTCATTTACATACTAAAAAGTAATCCTATACAAATGATTTCGAAATTGAGACAAAGTTAAACCAAATATTTCTATGTGATAATAATTAATTAACTTACAATATCTATCTATTGGTGAGTTTTGACCATAGTTAGTACGATGATAGGGAATGTTAAAAGACACAAAATCGCCTCTTCTATTTCTAGTCGGTGTGTCTATATTTATGCATAGCAGGAGATCAGCAGAATCAATCATACCATTGACCAACTTGCAAACAAAAATCATTCCAGCAGAGTTTCTCCGGTTAGAAAGGGTTTTCACTTTCAGCTGATTTTCAATGGCAGCATAATCATGATCAACAATCACAAGTCCTAATCTGAATGCACAATGTCTTAGAAATTTGTGCTGAATCTGTTCAATAGTTGCTTTGTGAACTGCATGATATGGTGACCATACTACTGAAGCATATTCCAGCTTCGAACGCACCAAAGAACAATAGACACTCCTAGCAGTTTCAAGTGAAAAGTTTTTACAAGTGTCTTAAAACAAAACCCAATAGTTTAGACGAACTCACTGTGAGATTGTGAATGTGACCTACAAAACTCAAACTTTCATCAAATAATACTCCCAAATCTTTAACCTTGGAGACATAAGTCAGAGTTTCGCCATTTAATGTATAGGAAGTGTCAAATTTTTTCTTGCCTTTGAAAAAACTAATAAAACAACATTTGTTGACATTCAGATAAAGCTTGTTGTCTGTGCACCAGCCCGTCAGCCTGTCAAGATCGTCCTGCAAAAGCCGTTGATCATCCATACAATTTATGATTCTATATGCTTTAAAATCATCTGCAAATGCCAGCCCGTCACTGTTCTCAAAACACTCAAATATACTGTTAACAAAAAGATCAAAAAGCAAAGAAGAACAGTGGCCCCCTTGGGGAACTCCTGAGGTGACATTAATAGTATCTGATTGAAAAGAACCAATTTTGACCATCTGCAGGTGACCCGACAGAAAACTACTAGCCCACTTAACTGATTTGATACCAAAGCCCATATTGAAAAACTTCTTTAAGAGTATCTGGTGGTCTACCCGATCAAAAGCTTTAGAAAAATCTGTATAAATCGCATCAACCTGATTGAAATTTTCTAAAGCAGAGATTATTTTATTTTGATATAGAAGCAAGTTGGTTGTGGTAGACCGGCCAGAACAAAAACCATGCTGATTACTATTTATCAGACTTCGACTAATCCACTTAAGCTGATCTCCCATTAAACTGTCAAATAGCTTTGCTATGGATGACTGTATACACACACTTCTGTAGTTGGTGACATTGTTTATTTCTCCACTCTTATATATAGGTACAATAAAACTGTGTTTCCATTTGTCCGGGTAGAAACAAGAATCTAAGGATCTCTTGAACAGGACATGCAATGGCTTGACTAATAAACATATAGACTTTTTTAGGATTATATTAGGTATTCCATCCGGACCTTTTGTATTTTTATTTGGGAGATTACATATCTTATTAAAAATATCTTCTATGGAAACATGAGAAAAATTGAAGCACTCGGAACTCACGTCAGACGTTTCAGAAACTATCCCCTCCAAATCAAGATTGCTAGGAGTGTAAACTGTCTCAAAATATTGTTTAAACAAGTCCACAATATCTTGGCCATTTTCCGCCAAACGACCATTATAAAACATTGATTGAGGAAGGGTGTGCGAACTTTTTAAGTTCCTTATGTATGTCCAGAAATATTTTGGATTAGCTTTAAATTCATTATCAACATTATTTAGGCATTGAGCCCAACATATTTCTCGAACCCTCTTACACTCCGAACGCAGCCCTGTAAACCACACATAATCAAGAGGAGATTTAGAATTATTATAAGCTTTATGAGCAATCTTTTTCTGGAACGTAAGACTTCGAAGCTCTTGTGAAAACCATTTTGGAAATGTGCTTGTGTGATATTTTTTTAAAGGAACATATAGAGCAATACCCATCTCGAGAATTTCATAAAAAGAATCCAAAGCTAAATTAATCTCATTATGTGAAAGGCATTGCTCCCAGTTTATACTAGCTAGAAAATTGTTCAATCCCAGAAAATCAGCGTTACGGAAATCATGGTAGAGATCATGAAGCTGAAGGCCTTTACTTCCCTGACTTTTACCCATAATTAAACAGCATTCGTAGCTAACATGATGTAAACTATTATCAAAAATAATATCCCTAGCTAAACTAACTACAACGTTGCTATCATTAGAAAACATCAAATCTAGGAACACATTTCTATGATTAGGAATATTAATACATTGAAAAAATTGCAAGAAACCAAAAGATTGAGCAACCTGAATAGCCGCGGATGCAGCTGGACAGTCAACTCTCACTCCAAATCCATCATTCGACCAACTTGCCTCAGGTAGATTGTAGTCACCAAAAATATACATTTTTTGAGATTTGCAAGACTCAAGAACATGCTCCACAGACTCACAGTGCATGTTGTAGTAAATATTTGGCATGTTGGGTGGTATGTATACCCCAGCAATCACAAATTTGTTCCCATGGAAGCTACATGCGACAAACAGCTGTTCTACATTGTGCTGGTTTATGTAAACTCTCATAGAGCTGATTGATTTCCTAATGTATATAAGTATACCACCGCCGCTAGATTTTTGACTAGTAAGATGAGACCGATCCAAGCGGAATAAATTAAAATCACAGCACTCTAGCTCACTGTCCATGAAGTTATCACATAAATTACTTTCGACTAGTACAATAATATCATATGAAGAACTATTTACTGCTAATTTCAGAAGCTCAATCCTTGTACGAAGGCCACTGACATTTTGATAGTATACCATTAATGGGGAGGTAGTTAGTTTTCCTGATTGCTTGCCTTTTTAGCGACTACCACTGGCATACCTTTAATATATCTGATGACTAGGTCTTCCCCTACATCCTTTCTTCTTGCAAGTTCTTCACGAGCTTCTTTGTAGGCAGCCTGCTGCATTTTTGTACAATCATATGCTATTTTGTAAGCACTGGACGCCAGTTTCTGTTTGCATCGAATGGCCTTTCTAATGATATCAGTATTATTGCATATTAACTTCAACGGTCTAGGCTTTCCATCAGCCCTTTTCTGACCCACACGGATGACTTTGCTAATAGCAGCAATTTCATCCTGGAAGCCAAGAGCAGTGAAGACTTCTTTTGCTATTTTCATGTCATACTCAATTCTGCTTTGAAGAATATTCTCAGCAGATTCTTGGGTACCAAATACCATTAAATTATTCGCTCTCATTGCGCGCTCACGTCCTTCTAACAAAATCTCTTCAATATTAGCAGCTGGTTTAGTTTTCAGATTTTGTATTTCAATTTTGAGAGTATCCACCTCTTTTTGCAGATCTTTAACCCTCCTTATAACCATGGGGGCTGACTTAAATGCATCACGACACTCCGGACAGAGGAACATAAGTGTCCTCTTTAGAAGCACCACAGCTCTAACTTCCGAGGGATTCTTGTTTACTCTGGAGTTTAAAACCAACCTGGAGGTGACTCGCAATTGAGAAACTGAATTAAAAGTGGGACACCCGACTGACAGGTCTTGTAATTTTTCACTATTTT